CTCTGGTTTAAGCCTTGCGCAAGAGTTTCAACAGGCCTTGAAGTAGAGAGAGGCTGTCTGGACTGTTTTACCTCTTTAATCATCTCCAGAGCTTCCCTGTCTGAACCCAAGTTTATTTACTTTCTACCAGGAAGGATACAGTCATGGCTAACGCTCAGTTTTTTTTTCTTTTTCTTGGCGACACAACATAAGTGGTATGAGTTCTGGGGCTTCTTTCGGGACGTGTGCTTCATCTGATATGTCATATTTTGAACATCATGGAAAAGGCCATTCAGTTCAGTTTTTTGTTGTTGCTGCTGTTTTTTTGTGCTTTTTTAATGACCTGCTTACGAACACCCATGCCACTCAGAAGGCAGACTGACACTGCTGGGATGATTTCTCATTCCATGATCCGACTGCAGTTTTGTAAGCAGCTGCAGACCGTTTTGTGCTTCTTCTTTTTTTTCACACTTCATTTCACAGCCTATTTTAGTTTCAATCCTCTGAACATTTGTGTTTCATCTTTCTCACTTTTTATCAGCAGATTTTTCTGCTGTGAATTCTTCCATGGAATGTGTCCCTTGGCGACTTTTTTTTTTTTTCACACTTTCAACCATGCCAGTGCAGATCATGAAAAAAAATCCAGTCTGGCCTCTTCCTCTTTGTTACCATATTTTGAATACATCGATCTGTCCTCTGAGGGTGAGTACTGAATCCGTTTGCTGTTATGAAGTGCCTAAATAACGAGAAATTACATTGGAGTTGTGTGGACAATAGCAACAAAGAAAAAGTAGACATTAGTTGAATGTGCTTCATGCATCTTGACTTAAAGTTACAGACATCCTTGCTCTGTTTTTATGGTATCCACCCATATGTGTGAAATCCAGGCTATGATAATAGCTCGGGGAGCTCTGTTGGTGTTAATACACAATCAAGGAGAATACACATAGGTCCTCCTCTTTTCTAGACATGGGAGACATTATGAGAAACTTCCATTTCTCAGTGAAGTCTCTTTCCAAAAACACTGCGTCCCAGTTATCCTGGATAATCCTCAGATTTTGCTGTCAGGTTTCCATCTGAACTACTTTCCACCGAAGGAACGGCCCCTTTGAAAGCCGTTGGCAGCGTGTTCTGTGGATTATCTGCTGAAGCTGAGGTACAGTTACTGGAAAGAGACGTTCATTCATTTTTTAAGGCAATATTTTATTTGTAAGGGCTGCAAGTTAAAGTCCAAGCACTTCAATTGTACTCAATTAGAGTAAGAAAACCCCAATAATTCCTTCTCATAGCCTGGAAAAAAATCCAATCCAGTTGTTCTCCACTGGAGTAAACATGCATATAGTTGAAACATATAGTTGAAATGATCTTTGAGCCTAAAATTGGGGCCGATTCTATTGGTCTCAGGTGGAAGCGGTTGATGTTAGCTGGGGGGACAGTTGCCATGCTACCGTGCGGTGTGGTTCAACACCTCGCAGACAGCCTGCAGGGCATCAAACCGCGTGTGCTGGGGCCATCCGCCGGCCACCGTATGGCGCCGGGCTGCCCTGACCCCGCCTGTCTCCATCTCCCATCTCTGGCCTGACCCTAAAACAGGTGGAAATAAAAATCCTAGCGAACCTAACAAATTCCCTCTTGTAGATGCAAGGACCTGATACAAAGATGGTCTTTTCTCCCCCGCCCACTTCTAATGTGATTAGTGTGATATTTTGTCATCTCATAAGGGAGCCCCACACACTGCTTTCCATAAGACAGGCCTCCCAGTGAGTTGCTAATAGCATCATCTCCTCCTGTGCGAATTTCAGATCTCCCTGGATGTGGATACTGTTCGCCGTGGGGCGTATTCGTTTGATGAGTCTTGCTCCTTGTCTACGGAAACAAAGGGCCAATGCTTGGCGGCTGAGGATCAACGAGCGTGAGTGATGCTGTACATAATCCCATCTTTTCTCTCTCTCTCAATCCCACACATCTTCCTAATCCTGAAAGATCAAGTGTAACCAGGCTGGAAGTGCGACTGGGCAGAAGCCAGCTCGATGCTGTGTGATCACTCCTGGCTCACTAAACCCCGCCTGTCCAACACATGTCCAACACCTTTGTTTCAGTTGCCTGGAATTTCAACCACATTTGCATCTAATTGGCAGATATCTGCGTTCTCACACGAAAACTCTGGATTATTACAAATTTATCAAACATCAGCTGGCGTTTTCCACTAATTAGAGTTAGATGACAGACTCTGGAGGGGAGGAAAAGCGCGTTTGCACATGTTAAACGCAGATGTTTTGTGCAGGACAGTGATGTGTCAGTGGTCTGTGTGCGACCATGCACATGCGTGCATCCCCAGTAAACATCTGTTCCAAGGCTTCGTACGCACACATGCCTCGCATGCTTTATGTATGGTTTACGGAGACCTGAACAGGTTCATTTTCACCTACAGCGAGAACGCGGTCAAAGCTGAGTAGGCAGTAACATGAACTGAACTCAGGCAGGAGCCAGGGAGCATGAACATGAGCCTATTTATAAATCAGTGGCAATGTGAGAGTGTTGCTGTTTTTTTTTTCCTGTATTTGATTGTGAAGGTTTCATGCCGATGTCATGTTCTTATTTCAAACAAATATAGCCAAGTGGATATTTATTTTTGCTCCCATTTTCCAGTAAAGGCTTAAAAAAAATCGCTCATAGCGTTTAATTTTTCCCTTCAGAAACAACATTTTGGTTGTTGTTTGGTGAAGTGAACGTTTACAGCCAATGGACTTCACTGCTACAGATTTTGGAGAAATTTTTGCATCTTTACCCAGAGTTACTTAGAAATGTACAGGTCTCTAAATTTCAGAATTGGGTGCACTGACTCAGGAACCAAAAGAAGGGAAGCATCTCAATGGAGCCCTAGAGTTTTTGTTAAATTACTCTGTTTTGTGTATACTTTCATGTTATTATTTGGCCCAGCTATCGTCATTCACTGAGCTCGACAGTGATCTGTACTCCTGACCTCGTTTATAGAATCTTTGGATATGCCCTTGAACCTTTCGCGCCTCAATGTAAAACACTCTCATCTGCATTTGGTTTGAGTCACTGGTTTGATGGACAGTTTAATCTAAATGTCTCTGACTTTCAGTTATGTGTCATCCATCTCTGCTTATTCATTACCACCACTTGCCTCTTTCAAATTCATACCTTTATTCCCCTTATGACATTTCAAAGCTAGATTTTTAAAACAGATGGCATTTGACTGCTTGTTAGGGTCTAATAGCTGGATTGTATCTGCTTTGGGTGTAAATATTCAATAGACAGCTTAATCCAGTCTAGATGTCAGACCATTGTCACATTCTTTTTATGGGAGTGGGACAGCAGGTGTTCGTGTTGGTGTAAAGAAGAAACTATGTCTTGTTTTATCCATATATTAAGACATAATCAAAACATGTCGTCTGATCCTCACAGGTCTTTAACCAAAGATATGTTTTTGAGAACTAGAGCTTGGCTGTAATTTGGTCAACTGAATATTGATCTATTTGGAATCAGAGAGAACTAACTAACCTAACTATGACCGTTAAAATGCCCTGGTGAGGATGAAATAGATATAATAATTTGGACAGAAAATACATAATTTCACACATAGGTGAGGACTTTCTGCTTACCCTGCAGGTGGGTGTGTATATGAAGAGTTATGGGCTTTTTATGGCAGGCATACACACATGCACAAAGGTATGATGTTGTCATAGTGTTGCAACTTGTCTTCCTTCATTCTTTTCATTTTCAGGAGTATTCTGCACATCCTCTCTGAAGTGCACGGACACCACTCTCTGAGGCAGATGCTACTAACCAGCCTTTAAGCCCAGAGGTGACCCATACACAACATGTCAGGCACACTTCCTTTTCCACGCAGTAAATGTGCCTTTAACACAACAGGATCATCATTTGTGTAATCATTCCTTATGATTCATTTCTGTGCGCCTTTCTGCAAACATCTCCGATACCAAAATAGAAATTAAAAAAACAGCATGTTGCCAGGAAAAGAGCTGTAAACAAATAAAAGGAATTGGCTATTAAAGGATTGTCTACCATGTAATCCCAAACAAGTCTTCTGGAGGTGAAAGTGAGCGCGTGAGCCACAAATTCCTACGCCTTCTCCGTCTCTGTCAGCGCGCCGGCTTATAGGGTGATGAAGGTGGATCCCAGAAATGGCTGACTTCAGCCTTGAATCTGGTTTATTCACAAACAAACACATCTGCTGTCACTGTGTGCTCGAGCAGGATTGATTATGAGGCTCTGCTGCCACAACATGTCATTATGGGAGGTGTGTGCAGCCCTCTATACTTAAATGTATGAATTTCACCATGCTTTCAGACAGTGTTTTTAATATACATCATCTTGGATTAAAGCCTTCTGCTGTGTACCTGCTAAAGCACCTGTAGACAGGGCTTAGTGATAATCCACAAAAAATGATTGGAACCTTGGCTTGGAACCGATCCCTTGAGTGTGAATATCAAAAGCAAAAAAGGATACAAGTTGATGCTGAGAGATGCTGGTGAGGCAAATTCTCTCCTTTTATTCAATTTCACAGAGATTACAGTTTTGATCTCATTCACCATGTTATGTTTCAATCTATTCACCACTGGTGGCAGCTTTGAAGTTAGAGGGAGTTTTCTTCTTCTTTTTTTTAATGAGGAAGGTGTAGGTTAACAGGGCCTGCTAAGCCTGTGACAAAAAAGACGCCGAGACATGCTCTGTCTCTCCGAATCCACAGGGACGGGAAAAGTAGGCCAGGCTCGGTGTCAGACAGCTGGGAGGATCACGACGCTCAAGTTGTTGCCTTGTGATCAAAGTTGTTCTCGCACTTTTGGTTTTTCGAGACTCTTGCAGAGATAGAGATTTAAAATACTCCTCGCAAACCCAAATATAGGACAGGATTTCTCTATTCTAGCTGAGCACAGCGGGATCCTTGGTGTCAGCCAGAAGCACAAGGTCTAATAAACCCAAGACCCTCTCGGATTTAGAGCCGCAACAGGAGTGCTATGGCTCATGCAGCTGGACATCAAACGTGTAGGCTGGATGACCATTTTTAGAACCTCAGGAAGAAAGTGAGGACCATTTAACTGATTTGCAATTAGAATTCGCTTGTGTGTTGACAAGCTCTGCCCCCGTGACCCTGAGCAAAGACACAGGCTCTAAAACAGCCAGGAAAAAAACGGAGGCTCGTCACGTGCCGTTCGTCACCCCTTCAGTATCCCCGGAGCTCTGTCTGAGTCCATCGCGAGTCAAAATCAGACAGCGAATCACGGGATCCCGCCAAGCCCCCGACGCAGAGCGCGCGCGCGCGCGCCGTGCCAAGCGCACTCCCGGACCGCCGGTGCCTGGGATTGGGTGGGGGGAGTGGTGGTTGCGGACGGAGTCACACGATTGGTAGAGTTCCCCAGCCAAACTTGTTGACTCACAACTGAGCTGCTCCTCTCCATCCTTCTCGGCGCGGAGCTGTCCAGGGCCACCGGTGCTGAAACTGCCAGCCTCCGACGCGCCGTGGAGCAGGAGAAATTGCCAAATTTCTAGAGCTTTTGACTACTCCCACATAGGCTTTTGAAAGTTAAACTCCCATAAGAATTCAAGACCCGTGGTTCGAACGTCCCTTGGCTGACGTCTATCCATCGCAAGTGCTCTGAACCAAGAGCGCGTCGAGCCTTTTGACTTGAGCCGATCAGAGCCAGGGGCTCCCCGAGTCGCATCCATCATGGCTTTCATGGTCAAACACGTGGTGGGAGGACAGCTGAAGAACCTGACAGGCGGACTGACGGAGGAAAAATCCGAAGGCGAGAAATCGGACGCAGCCGCGCAGGGGATGACTCAAGAGGAATTCGAACAATACCAGCAACAGTTAGAAGAAGAAAAGTAAGACCATGATCAAAGTTTTGTCGCTGTGAACGCGCGATTAAAAGGCGAAAACAACGCCCATTTAATCGCCGCGTGCTGTGAGTGTGGAGATCGGAGAGCTCTCTGTGCCTCCGTGCGCATTTTTACGCGTCAGTGCCGTAATGCGAGCGCGCCACAGACAGCTGCTCCTCGCGTCCGGGGAGCCTCGGCACAATGTGAGCTTTCAAATTAGAGGCTTCTGGAATCTGTCTTTCATTCAGATGGTTATTAGGGATTCTTGCCGGGGGCAGAACATGTCCCCAATGTTGTGCACCCAGCTTAATACCGGATCACCCAATTAGAACAACGACAATAATAACGACGATAATAATTAGAGTGGTGATTATCAGAGAGCAAACAAGCATGACTTAATTCCGATGTTTTCCATCCACGTGAAAGTGATCATGCAAGATGGTTCTGATGAAAAACATAAGCCTGATTTCTATCTGTTTGAACATTATTTCTTTTGAAACTAGAGATTTGAACATTCTTCTTTTAAGTCATCCTCTTTACAAATGTCGTTTTAATTAGAATTTGCTTTGAAGGAAGTGTTTCCTTTACAAAGTGTCCAGAACGCACCACACAAGTGAACAACAAGGTCATTTGACCAACACTTGTCCTCGGGCACAGAGCAGCTCACCCTCGATTAGCCTGAGAAGAGAACTCCACGTCCCCCACACTTTAGATGACGGAGGGAGAAGAAGGCTGAGAGCAGACAGCAGAGGAAAGGGACTCAACTCAAGAAGAGATGATTGGTGTGTGGCTTTCTCTCATCAAAAACCAACACCTGACCTCTGATTAACACCCCCCCCCCCAAAAAAAAAACGCTCTGAGAATCCCTACCCTCTGCCGTCACAACCTGAGCTTCAGACGGAGAGTTATTAGTCAGAGGTGCTAAACATGAGCATAGATCACAGAGAAGTCTCCTCAACTCACATTAAAACAGGAAAAGGCTGCGTGGACATGGGAGGGGCGGGGGTTGGAGGGGTTGGGGGTTGGATTGCTCACACTGGCATGTCACATGCACGCACTTTATCGCCATCAGCCACCAGGGGCCTTGCTTCTGACCCGTGGTCATCAACCCTGAGAGAGGTTGACAGAAAGCTGCTCCGAGTTTGAAACCCCGTTGGCCCCCTCCCCCCCTCGGTGTTTGGGTCTGCTCACGTTGATCCAAAGCCAACCCCGGGCCACGCGGGAGCACAAACGTCCGCATCTCCTCCTGATGTAACGACCTTCCCCTGACACTCTGGGTGCAACAACACATCCTCGTGAGCGGTGTGGTGGAGATCAGGTTTCGCCCCGCTTTTAGATGCTGATCTGATCCAAAGGTGAACCGTTCAACCCCATTCCAATGATGATTCCGTCTCGCGAAAGGCCCCCATGCCTTTTAACCTAACAGCAGCGTTCTATGATTCACAGACTATTCACTTTGAATTCTTCTATTTATTTTTGTTTTCACAGAAATATCTAATTTGACCTCAGGCTATTTGTTCAGGGGTTGTTTCCCGCTGTTGGCTAAAAAAATTCAAGGAGCTTCAGCAAATTTAGCAATTGAGGTGGTGGTGGGGGGGTGTATGGAATTAAGAAGCTTCCAGCCTTTCAGTGATTTGAAGTGGAGACAGCAGTGACAGCTGCCTACTGCCTGCCCTCTGCTGGAGGTATCTCATACTGTTTGATGGATTAGATGACAGCCCCCCCCCCCCCCACTCCCAACAACCCCCTCCTTCTCCAACATACGGTCCCCTTGGACACAGATGTGAATAATTCTATAAATACCTCAGAACCTACGCTGTGTTGCATTTTTGGATGTTTTTTTTTCCACGGGCTCCATTAGCTCTGTGAGGCTGTGGCTTGCGAACAGGCTGACTCCTGAAACCTTATCCCTGCCATCAGCAGCCGAACGCTGCTCCCAGCTGCTCAACCATACTCTGACTGTTAAAGGATAAAACAAAAAAAGGATGAAGTGTGTTTCTGGAGGGCAAAGGAAACTGGCAGAGGCACTGCTAAAGCCACATACCGATAAAACTGACACAAATGTTATTCTCACCTGAGATTCGTCAAAAGAAAGGATTTATCGTGCCCTCACTTTAAAAGTTCAAAGTTTAGGTGCATCTATAGGTTTTTTTTGCAAGGAAACTTATATAAAACTGCTTTGCATGAACTGGACCAATCTGGAACGGGATTTGATTGATTTGATCAGATTGTGATCGTATCAGAGTGAATCAGATTGAAATGGACTGTTTCTCGTTTGATTTCTACAATATCTTTGGTAGGCCCAGATACTTGGTCCTATGTGGATAAATGTACAAAAGAGATTAGCTAGCCCTCGTTTCTTTTTATTTTGCTATAAAAAAACAAACAGAAGTAGGCCTTGTTATTTGTACACATGTATAGCCAAAGATGGAAGTAAAGGACAAAAGGTGGAAATGAGTTTGTACGATTTTAACCAACTTGGGAGTTGTTATTTTTGTATTAGTACTTTTATTCTTCAACACATTTTTAAACATATTAGACATGCTAGTCCCTTTAGGACTTGTTCTTCAAGCTTTTTGAAGGACACGCCAGAGCTCTTTGGATTTCGGCTTACATTAGTTTTGTTCTCTGTCAAGATGGTTTAGAAATCCTTTGAGGAGAAGACATCCTTCCATAAAATCTGTTGCTATCCTCTTTTTTTATCCCCCTCTTGGGTCCTTTTTGCGTGCCTTGGCCTTTTCTACTTGTTTTCTGTCCTTAAGACTGACTTATAGCCATGTTTCAACTTTATTTGACCGATCTGTTGGAGAAGTTTATTTTTTCTCCCACTTGCCCCCTTTTTATTTTGTTCATTAAAAAAAGTTTTCTTGATAAGATATGCCCCATGTGAAGATATAGCAAGCTTTTGGCTGATAACTCTTTGAGGTATCACGTTGTTGGAGCAAAAGTACTATTTGTGCCATCTATGATTGTACTTAAATGTAGCCACAGAACTTTAAACTAAATGTATGTCTTTGTGTCTAAATATCCTTCGTAAGGTTTCAAAAAATCCTGATTTTTCTTCCAATAAGCTTCAGTCCCCTGAATAGTTGAAAGTGGGTACAGAAAATGGATGGAAATTATGTAATGGCTACTCATTGAAAAGCTGTGTGTTGTAAGTTGACACAACACTGGATCATCCCATGAGATAGGAACCTTTTTCTGTTTATATTCTTCATAGATTACGATAATAAAACCTGAAAATGGTCAAGGATAAGGGCTGAAAATGAGTGAGGAAGCAAGAAATTTCAATAGAAAAACTCAAGATCTCCAGAAATCCAAGAGAATTGTGCCCCTAGGCCCCCTTTTAAAATGTTACAGGACTGATTAGAGGCCTGACATAAAGAAATGATAGGTGGCTCCAAACCTTTCCACAGCACACTGTGGGATTTTTTTGACAGCTCTGAAAGTGTGGTAGTGAGTCGGCGTTTAGTAGGTCACCTCTTGTAGTTGAGTTTGTGTGCCAGATGGACTGAAATCCAAGGAAAAGCTGCATCTGGGGCTCCCCAACATGAGCAGATACCCCCCCCCGAAACCATCCCGCCCACCTCCCGGCGTCATTGCTGCTGCTCCACCTTCTGTTGGCTCTACACCCTGTTGTTAAGGAGGACATGTGGTAATGATAGCCTCCGAGACTCCATGGTCCAGATCCAGCAGGAGCCTTGGAACAGTCACATGACAAGAACGGCTGATTATGGAAATACAGTCCACTGTGTATCTATAGACCTCAACTTTAGTGGACAAAAAAACCCCCAAACAACTTTAAAGAAGCCAAATGTCATCAAATACAAAGCCTGAATATTTTTGGCCTTGAGACTCACTTTCACCTGTTTGATTGCAGACAAGAACGAGAAGCTAACTTTGCCCAGAAAAAGGCCGAGAGAGCCACAGTCAGAAGCCATTTCCGGGACAAGTACCGACTACCAAAGGTAAACTGATCTGTTTCTCTAAATGAATGAATCCATCTTTTGAATGAAAACAAGGTCACGTTTTCTTCCCGCCCCTGGCGGCTATCTTCACTGTGTGTACGTGTCTGCTTCTCCCGTCTCAGAACGAGCTGGATGAGACCCAGATCCAGCAGGCGGGGGACGACGTGGTGCTGCCCACAGAGCTGGCCAAGATGATCGCCGAGGACAACCAGGAGGAAGCGCACAAGCAGTCCGTGCTGGGCCAGCTGTCCAACATCCAGAACGTGGACATGGACCAGCTGAAAGACAAGGCCCAGGCCACGCTGGAAGACCTGAAAAAGCAGACGGAAAACTGCAGCCTCATGTGATGGGATCCGGCCGGGAGATGGGAGTTTTGCTCGTGCAAATATTTGTCTGAGGCAAAGCTGCTCTGGGTTTAGACATTTTCTCATTGCTTTTGTGGAATGTCAGTTGGCAGAGACGCGTGATTACAGTTTGGTTCGTAGCTGTCTTTTTTTGTGTGTGTGTGTGGCACAAAGCCTGACCATACCCGACGAAATCTGACACAAATGGACAGAATCATTCCAAATCCTGAAGATTCTGAATGATCTTCGCCTTTTGTAAAAAATATTTTTTTTTTTTACAGACACTAATCAAAAATAACTAAAAAAAGCGAACAGTGGCTCTTCCCATTGGCATGCGCTCTGTGAGATTATGTCTACCATTTGAGCAGCTCCTCCTCTACGTGAGGTTTGTCCAGTTTGTCCAGTGTGTCCAGTTCTCCGGCCCTTGCCCCCGGCTCCTCAGCTCCCTGCCTCTCCCACAAGCAAAGTGTGTTAACGCAAAGCTCGCAGCAGTGTGTGCCGGTTCCTTTTTTCCCAAACACCACGGCAGCTGGGTCCGCTGATGAACTCCTGCACTCTGGATGAGAGGCCATCACCGGGACCAGCTGCGTGCTTGGAACGGAAACCCGTATAACACGAGGCTTCCACTGCCTCAAGTGCTCTGTTGAATTTGAAAAATGCAGCCATTTCATTCAGAGCGAAACGCGATGGGGATCTATTTCCGGGGCTGTTTATTATTTCTCGTGCAAAATCGCAAAATCGCAAAAAGTCGCCAATATTCAGCCTCATAGGCTGATATTTGAAATCTTTATTTGCCAGGCATTAACTATATGAGTAAGTATTTGCCATACATCTATTTGGACTTCAAGGTTGTTCCGGTTCCAACACTAAAGCCCCACTTCTTTTAAAAACTCGTGCAATGTGTAGGTCCTAACTATTTAAGTGTGCGCTTTCGGAGTTGTATGCCAAAGCCTCTCTCGACTAAAACGCTCTGACCAATGGACAGGAAACGGCCCGTATATGTTAGATTGTGTAACCATAGTGCTTATCTATACAACTGGTCCACAAACAAGTCTTCGTGTTCCGGAAGATGTAAAGGTTTGTGCCGTCCGCAGCCAGTTGCTCTCGGTCAGCTGGCTGGATCTTGTAGTGTTGTCGGCCGTCTCACTGACCCTCCCCCTGTCCTCCATCTCCTGTACCTCGCAGTCAAAGTAGTGCTGTTTGTGCTGGTGGAGTTCTTGTTGTTAAGCCGATGTGATCTGTTAAGTGGTGTCTTTGTGTGGGGAAAAAAAAACAACAACAACCTTCCTGAGGCTGAGTGCTCATCCTAGTGTCCAGGAGCGTGAAGTCCACCAGGCTTCGCTCCGGTACGGTCTCAGTCGGTTGCTTGCAAAACACAAACAAAAGCGTTCAAGAAAAGTTGCTATCGATGTTGTGCTGCACTCATATATACGGCTTTGACTCGTTCAGTCATTTTTGGACCATGTTCGGTAATCTGTAGCAGTGGTGCCGAGGGTGATCACATCTGGTCCCGGTCAGATGTGTCCTTTTTTTTGTGAGGTCGTGAAGTTGTGTTACATAGTTCCAAAAGATTGATTTTTTTGTTTTGTTTTGTTTTGTTTTTTGCTATTGGTACCACAGTGCTACAGAAACCTGAGTCAACGTGTTTTTTTGGTTGTTTTTTTTAGCACATTGTCATGTGATTAAAGAGCAGTGAAATAGAGACGTATACAGCAGAGGGAACGTTGCAATAAGTTCTTTTTTTAATAGAGCTATTAGTATCAGCCATGAAAATCGTGCGATGTTATAAAACGGTGGAAACGAAGCCATAAATCCAAACTCATAAGTGTGCATAACTTAGAACAATATTTCTGTACTAAATAGTACACGAGCGTGATTGTTGTGCTGTTATTCTGTGGGGGAGATTTTCTGAGGAGGCGCGGCCTCCTCTGGCTCTTTGTTATCTCTGTATCTCTGTCACTCCGTCTGAGAGTACTCTGGTGATTTTATGAGTTTTAACTGCAATAATAAACAGATTTTTATGAGAACGCCGATTCCTTCCCTTTTCTGGAGCTGCCTCTGGGCTTGGCCCTTGCGTCTGGCTACTCGAACACCAGGTGGAGACAAACCGCCGGATGGCCCTCCCCCGAAGCTGCAGACAAAGTTTAGACCTGGGAGGTCGTTGCAAAGCTGTATTAATAGATGATAATGACATCATGTTGCATTTCATATGTCGAAGCTTCTTAATCCTCAGGCAGGCAATAGGGAATTAACCCAAGATTGACCCATGATCTTTTTTCATATCTTTTCTCCCCAAAAAAAAAAAGTTGGAACAGTAAGACTTCCACCACTTAGTCATTCTGCCATTGCTTTTTGTCAAACTTTAAACACTCTGGTATTGAGGAGGCAAAGCCATGCACCGTTTCTGATGTTATTTTGTCCCAGAACTCCTACAGGCTCATCTGGAAGTCTGAATCTCTGCAGGCTTGAAAATATTCAAATAATCTCTCCTGCGGACAAGTCGGGACAGCTGGCTGAGAGACCCTGTTTCACATGAGGACTTCCCCAGAGAACATGACATCCTAAAGGCTGCCTGCGGTACTCTAAAATCTCAACTTTTCAATATTAGCACTGCCATCGTAGAGGTGTAAAAGCGCCACAAAAACACAAAAAACGTCACACAGACTGGGCATCAGACCAATCTCAATGATCTTTTTGAGTCTATTACATTAAGGGCCCTCCTCCTCTTTCACCAAAAGATCCTAACACTGTTTGATCCGACCTCAGTACCCGTTTCTTCAGCCAGATGTTCCATCCCAGATTCCTCTGAAGCCAGATAGACTGACACTGCTCCTGGTGAAAGAAGGTTACGGATGCTTCTGTTTTGTAGAACTCAGGCAAGCCAAGACATCTCATTTAACTGCCTGGTTGTGTGGTTGTATCAGCTATTTATGAATGACTTGATGCAAACCCTCCAGGGTATTAGAGGTTTTGGGTTAAGATTTGTGGATTAAGATTCCCTCATGTTCCTTTATTGGTTACATGATATTCTGCTCTGTAGAATATAAAATATTTCAATCCCATCTAATCTTTCATTGAGAAACATTTTTGAGGTACATTTTCAAGTCATTTTCTTTTTCATATTAGTTGGTGTAACAGCCAAGCCTCTAGATCTTTTCTGGATGCCGCTTCTAAACACTGCTTAAAGTCACCTGTTTCATTTAACGTGGTCGTTGGTTTGAAGTGCAACAGTGGATGGATATTAGCAAAATAATTTCCCTCTGGGATTATTAAAGTATTTCTGATTCTGATTCTGAAACAAAGGAAGTTGATGAGAGTATTTCTTGGCTCCCTGCTGTTGACAACAAAGCAGAAGTCAATCTAAATGTCAGAATCTTCTTTTTAATCTAATTTGCATTTCCACAAAACAATAATTTGGCCTCAGTGCTGTGAAACCACACCTTTGCCACACTTTTGATAAAATTATCCGATGACTTTTAAACGACTATTGAAGGCGACAGATTGGACTAAAAGCATATGCTCATGGTGGTTTTATTCATTACTCCACTCACTATTCATGGCTCAGAAGTCCAGCGGCTTTGAATTAAATCAGCATGCTTTAAAGAACAGAAATCCATTTTTTTCCCCTCCAGTTGTTCCTGCTCCCATTGCAGTCTTGTGCATCTGTTTTGCTGGAGTTTGTGCAAAACTGGCACAATTTCCTAAAGCAAGCCCTCCCCCAGAAAAAAAAAAAAAAAAGGCTAGTTACCATCTCAATGGAACGGAGGCCTGAGCTATTGCTAGTTTTCAAGTGTGGTGTGAAAGGGAATAGCTGTAAAATATATTGATGCTGAACCCAGGACTATTGGTAGGCCGCAGTGCGTGAACAATCTCCAGCCTGGACAGACACTGGGCCACTGCACGGCCTATCTGCCACAATTAGGGTGAAACGGGCCAGAAAATACTATTCTCTCCCATTCTCCCCTGTCAATCGGGGCTTAAAAAATTGTGCAGAGTGGGAGGTGGACGGGAGGGGGAGAGGAGAGGAGAGGAGGGGAGGGCTAGACAATTAGAGAGAAACCCCAAAACGTGGAGGTTGTCATCGCAGAGGGGCTTGCATTCCCTTGCTCTGCGAAGCAGATATGTTTCTCCGGGCTGAAAAAAAAAAAAAACCGGAGCAGTTAAAGTTGCAGATGTGAGCTTCTTCCAAAGGAATGCACTTTGCAAACTCTACCCCCCCCCCCCCTCCTCTGCGCCCCCGTTTGACTTATGTTTAGCTAAAACAAGCCGAGGGGACCACACAGATTCCTGGATTTCATGCAAAGATCCCTCCAAACACTCTCAAGAGCGCGTATCTGGTGGTGTTGTGAGGGGATTTAGCGCGCGGCCGTGGGCCTGGACGCGGGTCTCACGGCCGACGACCAATCGGTGCGCAGGGTTGTAAAATGAGAGACGGAGAGGGACAGGAGAGAGAAGGGGGGGGGGGGGGGTAGAGACTTTTTCCTTTCTTTTTTTCTACGGAGGGGAGGGGTGTTGTGGGGAAATGCTCGGCGAACCGTGAAGCGTAACAGCCAGAAGAGGGACAAAGACGCACATAGCGGGACTCAAACTACAGAGGGAGAACTCTTCCAACTCAGAAACAAACAAAACAAACAAACAACAACAACAACCGCGGAAGGAGCGGATGGATGGGTAAAACTAGTCGCGCCGGGAAAAGTCGAGACGGGTGAGATTACTTTTCTGGAGCCGGATCGGAGTTGAGGACTACAGCCCGTTAACTGGTGAAGAAAGCCCCGGGGGCGCGTTTCGGTGTGGCGCGCGGCGTGGCTGCAGTGTGGAGTGGACATGCGGCCAGACATGACTCTTTCTGGGCTGTTTCTCTTTGTCGCGGCCACTCGTGATTTACCCGAGTCAGATCCGGACTTCTACCGTTGCAAAGCCCACCAGCAGGAGGCTATAGCCCAGCCGAGGGGCCAGTTAGTGGAAAATTAGGAAAAGAACCACTCTGGTAACGGGCTTTTTTGTTTTTTGTGGGATACTAACTATCTAAGAATCCTTTTCTTTTTTTTCCCCCTTCTTGTGTAAGTTCTAATTCCTATGTGCCGGTGGACAAAGTGCGCGTCATCGAACTAGAAAATTTCCCCCAAGCATGAAATGCTGGTGCGGCACCCTGGCGCTTCTCCCCTGGGTGCTGGTGGTCCTGGACGCCCAGCTGATCTGCTGGCAGGCGCTCCTCCGGTGCCACGACGAGCCCGAGTGCGAGCTGGCCTACAGCCAGTACCTGGCGGCGTGTGAGGGCCACCTCCGCGGCACCGGGAGGCGGTGCCCCAGCCACTGCATCAACGCGCTCATCCGCCTCAACCACACCCGCGGCGGGCCGGCGCTGGAGAGCTGCGACTGCGCGCGGGACGCCGACTGCCTGGGCGCCAAGCGGGCCATCGAGCCCTGCCTGCCCCGCAGGCACCCCGGCGACGCCGGCGGGATCGGCTGCATGGAGGCCCGCCAGCGCTGCGAGGAGGACAGCGGCTGCCACGCCTCCCTGGCCGACTACCTGTCCAACTGCGGGCAGCTGTTCAACGGCAGGAAGTGCTCCCCCAAGTGCAGGGCCACCATCCAGCAGATGCTCTTCATCCCCAACGGCGCGCTGCTCAACCGCTGCGTCTGCGACGGCGTGGAGAGGCCCTTCTGCGAGGTGGTCAAGGAGAACATGAGCAAGCTGTGCTCCGTCGGGGACCACAGCGTGGCGTCCGACCAGCCCGACGTGGACTACCTCTACGAGGAAGAGGACTACGACCCCAAAAGCGACCGGGAGGACGTTTACGCCGAGAACTCCTCCGCGTCCCAGAGGTTATCCAGCTGTTCGGCGCTCCTCCTGCTGCTATGGATAGTGTTCTGAAATAATGGCTTCCGGGGGATTCAGGAGTTTAAAAAGGTGGCACTTTTCAAATAAAATCACAGGACCTTTGTGCTCTCTGCTTTTTTAACGTCACGGAGCCGCTCTTTTCCGCAAACCCTGCGCTTTTGGTTTGGTTGTTCTCCACCAACATTACAGGGGAGAGCGGGCTCTGTGATGAGAACAAAGCCTTAAAAAAAAAAAAAAATGGTCAAAAGAAGGATATTTATCAGGTGAGAGCAAAGAGAGCCGGGCCAGAGTGCGCGGCAGGGCCCGGATATTTTGTGTGCCTTTTAAACAAGCCCTGTTTATTTGATTTGCCCCTCAATGGTGCTTGAAGTGTGGCTTTATTAAGACCTTAGACAAACATGGGAGCCATCCAGTCGCTGTTTGCTCTGCTCTCCATTTCAGGGGCCTTTCGCATTGTCGCAGCGACCGCACTTCAAATATTTGTGGGAACAGCCAGAGGACGAGGCAACAGTGTGGGATCAAGGCTCTCTAATTAACTGAAGCGCCTCTCTCCAGCACTCCGTCCTGGCCCCCTCCCCCATTAGACATAGTTTTATAGAACTTTTCCTGAGAGGGCTCCGCCCCTCCCTTCCCTTCCTCCCCTTCTTTAAAAAAGACCCCCGTCTCTAGTACTGCCCCGACACTCCAGGACTACCTGTCAGCTGCTGGTGTGAACGGGTCAGAAAGTCCTATCTGCAGTTTCTCCACAACAGTGCTCACGTCAAGAAGTTCCCCCCTCCACACACAGCCACCGGCCATCAGCTCCCCGGGCCCCACCGGCGGTCAAACGTTTGGCGGAGTTGGTGGAACAGGGGGGAAAGTTTCAAAGAAAGTCTTTGTCAGAGAGACAGAGCAAATCAGATCAGAGATTCATGCACCGGAACAAAGCGGTGGTGGGTTTTTTGCTTTAGGAAACGCACCTTTGGAAACTTTGATCAACTTCATCAGACGTGGAGTGTCTCCCATGAAAGGTCACCCTTCACTCTGGGCGCTCACCTTAACCTGTCTGGATAGCGGGGGCTTTTTCAGTGGTGACCCCATCTTGCACATCTCCATGCTCCTAAAGGGGGGAAGCTTAACACTGTTTTGGTGCATTTGGATCGCTTTTTACCGCAGTTTCCAGTTCGTCTGTGCCGGTCTTGTGCCCTTAGTTTGCCCATTGAAGGCTTGAATGGTGTTGTTTGATGTTAAATTATGAAGCAAGAATATGAAGAATGTGTATATATTTTACTATGGTATGCAGTAAAATAAATGCAGCTAATATAAACACGTAAATGTAGCTCAGATCCAGCTCATAAAGACAGATACACTATTCAGATTTTTTGTTTTTCTATCTGTTTGTTAGAAAATACCAGAAATCAACACAGAGGAGGATATTTTTTTCCTTGTGGAAGGATGAGTTTTATAATAAAATGCTTATGACACAATCAGTGTAACAATGTGATTTTTTCTTCTCTAAGGTTTCCTAACACACACATTTATATATATTTCCTTTGTTCATAACCTTAATGAGTTAATTTTTTGTATCTTGTCATAATATCTAAGGAGCATCCAGGTCCCAGTGAAAGGAAAATGTTGAAAAAGGTGCACATTTTTGTTTATGTCCAGAAAAAAATACAGAAATACAGAAAAGTGAGGCATTTACCTGAACCTCAGCTTCCTTTTTCTTTCTTATACACCAGCACCTTCAAAATAGACGCTGATACTAGCTTTCGTTTAACAGTGTAATCATAAACATATGACTCAAGGCTCTCTTTATAGTATTGATATTGTAACCTACAATAGTTAATAGACTTTCCAAATTGCCCAAAACTTTAGGAACCGCTTTGGAGCAAGGGACCAATTGGGGGCTTGTTCCACACTTGAAATGAATATTCACAAGTCTTTAGTAAATTTAACCCACATGTTCTCAATGTGCTATCCAAATAATACAAATCGCACTGGCAACAGAAGAAAAAAAAAAACTTCCTCACGAAAGTTTCAAAGCACCCCTGTTTGAGTTTTGCCTCCAATGTGTCAAACGGCTTGAGCAATTGTTAAACTGCTCAACTCCAGACTTCTTTTTTTGGACATAGGCCACTTTTTCATTCCAATCCTCATTCCTGTCCATTTTAAATTAAATCTGTTCTTGTTTTTTTGTCTCATTCCACAGAACATTGACTTGTGTATCATTCAATCCAAGAAAATAACTCAAAGAATGACTCAGTGCTGTGTCCTAACATAAGACAAAATTTGCAAAGAAGTTTTAAACGGTTTGTAACAGGCAGACAGTGGCAAAGACACACAGTTTGTTCAGATTCCTTTAGCTGAGTATGCACAAAATGCCCAACTGACAACATTCGTCAGACGAGAAACAGCATTTAGGTTCCTACAAAATGATTCCAAGAGCTGTTTTGTGAAAACTGTCGAGTCAGAGTCGAATCATCAAGCATAGATCCAAGAAGAAGTACCTCAAGAAGCCTGCAGAAGTAGTCCTGAACACTACTTAAAGAAATACCAAGGCTAATATGCCTCAAGTAGCAGTGAAAAATAAAGGTGCTCGTGCCAAACAATGACTTTATATAGAGCACTTTTGTTTGAATTAGCTCAACTTACAACAAACATACCCAGGTTTCCTGGCAGTACATAAAAATAGGGCTGGTTTGTGACTTTTGCTCAACACTGTGGCTGCGATGAGCTGACAGGTGGCAGATTTATGAAATGACTAGGAGTCCTGGACAACGGCTCGAGCGACTACTCCTGCTATTTTTGTTTGTTTTTTTCCGTTTGGCTCCGTACACCGCAGGAATCCTCCAGAATCTCCGACCGTCGAGCGTCGTAAAAACAAGCCAGAAAAAAAACAAGCAGGTCACAATGCAGCACCATCCCCTCCACCTCACTTAAAGCCCTCCGCCGTGCAGCCTGCCTTAATCATTGCCATGCATCCAAAGGTTCTCCAAAACAACCACCCCACCCCCTTCAACCCCCCACTGCACTCCCTCCAACCCATTCTGGGAGCAAAATCAAAACAAACATGAGCCGAGCAGCCTTGGGGAGTTGAGTGTTTTGAGTGGGGTGGGGGTGCTACAGAGGCAGCAGTGTGCTGGAGCCCATTTTCTGAATTATCTTTATTCAACATTTCTTTGAAACAGCCATCCCCCCCAAACCTGCCTGCCCCCCACCCTCCCCTCACCCTCCCAGACCTGCACTCTTCTCCTCACGGCTCCGGAGCGTTAGCCACCCGGGCATTCAGGAGGCTCTTGTCTCACACCGATACAATGTTCCATTCATGACGACCGTCGGGCCACAATCAATAGTTGACCTGGATCGTGGAGTCAAGGGTGCCGAGCCCCCTTTTTGGGTCCAGAAAGAAGAGAACGCTCTTTATGAGAGGGAGGCCAACGCCGGTGCCGCTCGCCTGCTCTCCAACAAACGCCAGGAGACTCACTGGAGAATTACTGGAGCTGCAGCAAAATGGAGGCTAATGGAAGCCACAATGCCACAGGTTGTGGTGATGTTGTGGAGGAGACGGGTTAAGTTTTCCATGTTCCAATCTGCCTCTCGGAGCTATATTACCGTAAGGAAGTTCAAAACACTGACGGGGAAGAGGGGCTGGGGGTGGGGGCAATATAAGTTGGCAGCACTCCTAGAAACAAGCAACAAAGAAATCACTGGGGTTAGTAAGTTTTTCTGGCAGCGACGGACTGGTGTAATGATTAAAGCGAGGAAGCTGAGCCAGCGCTTTCGGGTGCCTCCAGTCAGCCAGAGCCACAGGACGGAGAACCAGCCTCCTGCTCCACGGCCGCTCAGACTGGCAGCCCAGGTGGATGTCACCAAGCACACAGTAGCACAGACTGATGAATCCATTGAATTCACACCCTTTAATGTTTTTTTTTTCCCTCTTGCACTGGGATCTTAAAAAGGTATATCCTGAACCTAATCTAGTAAAAGCCAGAAGATCTCTCTTCTTTCACTTGCTGATTTCACCAGCAATTTGCATCATACAAGCGTTTTTCGTCATTTGTGTTAAAAAGGGAAGGGTGACAAAGAACTGCCAGGCTCTTAAAATGTGCTGTCACCAAGGATCTGTGCTTGTCTGATTCATGAGGAACCGAGTATTTCTATTTTTAACAAGTGCACAAAACACCCCAGGATCCTGACTGGAGGCTGAAAACTTTCCATCAACTCTGCATCATCCTCACCTAAGGAACTTAGGTGCAATTCATTTAGAAAATATATTCTTTAAAAAAAAAGTTATATTCTTAAATGACCAAATGCTCTTCTATTTGTCCATTTAGCCCCCCTGTTTTTTGTCCACAGCTAACCGTTTCCTTGGAGCACTTGTGGTGCTACCTGGAATACAAATGTTCGCACAGATTTCAAAACCATAATCAGATTTCTGTTTTCCATTCACGTTTAGAAGATTCTGCACGGCAGAAGAGAATAGGAGTGGTAAGGATCCAATGCACGAAAAACGGTTAACATAGTTTGAAAAGCTTTTGGCTGGTTTCAAAAAAGGCTTGAAGCACATTGGAATCAAATTCAGACCTGACAAAGATGTCACTCAGTGTTCCTAAGACAAAGTGATACTATCAGTTCCTTTTCTGGTTGTCCACCGCAGCTGTTGTTATTTATCCTCCTCTGGGTTAGTTCCTGGTTCACAGAACTCCAATTTCTCCAATGCAGGTGATTCACAAATTTTGTTTAGAAGCTTTTAAAAACACATCAAGTTTTCTTCCTTAGTGATAGTTACAAAAGACATAGACTGCACCACTTGATAGAGAATGTGAGTTTATTTTCCAGTAAATTCATCATTTCCATCTCAGCCATTAATAAATACATTATAAAACAGACAGACAAATGGAATTCTTGCCAGCAGATGCTATTTTTTCCTTTGACTCCTGTTTTAGATACAGTATTTTCTGAAGTTGCCCTCAAGTCTTATACAGAAAGTAAAGCTCCCTTTAGCCATGTTCAAGCACTCAGAATCGTCAGTGCAGACCTACAACAGTGTGAGTGAGCAGAGCAGCGGGCCGCCTGCAGTTCAGCTTTTTTACAGTTTCACAAAGGCTGACTATTAGAGGCTTCGGATAATCATGACAACTCAGAGGGTGCAGTAGATGTAATGCCAAACCAAAGCCAGATCCTAAGAAAATGCAAGCCCAGTGTAAATAAGGCAGAGGCCGCACCTCTCAGCGGCGGTGAGGACTCCATCAGTGGGGAGAATATGGTGAGCCTGTGGCTGACCCACAGTAAAGGCAGTGGAGGAGAGTGGGAGTGAAGGATTGTAAACACAAATATATTTGCACAGACCTCCATATAAGGTTCTGAAAACTACCGTTCCTGTATCGGATTGTATTTATAGTATTTTTTCTATTCGTATGTGTCCTGCAACCATTATTGTTCTGCGACCCTCTAAAACGCAGAAGTGTCACTTTAACTCATTTACCATGACAGTGTGGCATTGTCATATGAGCTGAGCAGCATTTCCATATCAATGGAGCGTCGGGAGGAGGGGGATCCAGGCTAAGCACTCCGACAATGCAGTTTAAAGAGCAGGGCAACTTTCACATTCACCACTGTGCCAATCCAAAATCCAAGAGCTGCTTTCACCATTTTACCAGCCAACTTTTTTTCTTTTCTTTTTAATTTTTTTAAATCGCCTTCCTTCAAAAGATAATAAACCTGAAGCTTTACCTGCCAATTCATATGGTGGAAAAAACTTTCCGGCAACAGCCAAAACACTGGGCGCGTTTGGCTGGCGACCGTGGCATCCCACCCAGACGGAGCTCTCAGATGGTGAGGATGTGGTGGGGCCTGGCCCCCGCAGAGGCCTGGTGAGGCCAGCCCGAACACTGACGGACACTTCATGGGGCATTCCAGTCTTCTCCTGGTGGATGCTGCCCCCCCCCATCCCTCCTTTGCACTCACTGCAAACAGCAAGCTGAGGAGACAGAAATGACTGATGTCAATTTTTTTTTTAAAACATCATAACACTTCCCAAATGAAAAATTTCTTATGATGCTTTAAGTAATTTCTCTTGGTAACCGCATCCGCCACCCACAAAGCCGGGTGGGATTACGCAGCCTATTTCCAAGATTTGTTGTGCAAACTAATCCAAATAATTCTCCGAGACATTTAGACTGGGTGATTAAACTAACTCTCGTAATTTATGATCCTTTCCAACTTCTCATTTAGCAAGTGATTCTTTTAGCCATTCTTAAAAAAAACAAACAAGATTATTGTTTAATACCACTAATCACAATGAACATTCCCCTTTATTGTGCAGCTTTTTGTGAGCCGCGAGCATGTTGGGACTGACGCCTCTTCTTTTTTTTTTACTTTTAAAAACATTTGCTACAATTTATAAATTAAGAGAGAAAAACTGTGGACCTTTACAACCTGCTCACAAAAAAAGAATTAGTACAAAATCGACATATAAAACTTTATTTCTGGCTGCTGTGATCAACCTGAGCACTAAAACCTAAATTTCATTCTTTGATATATTTGAAATGTGTTGTTTGTCTCCTTATAAACATTTGGGGGGGATAAAGTGCTCTGGATAGCCTCAGCTTTCACCCAGAATGGTTTCCCTAATGAAGATGCTCACACAGAAGAGCCCGTAATATTTACATTCTCTTAAAAAAAGTGAGCTATGAGCTATGAGTTTGTGTGTAGAATCTGAAGGCTGTACAACCCCCACCCCCTCAAGTGCTTACACTGACTGTGCTTACAATGTCCGTTTACAAGTGTGTTAGGGTTCTGTGCTTCAGGGGTCGTAAACAGGACACCAAAAGCAGGCCTGCAGCTCGGTCTGAAATGTAAATTGTCTGGGGGCTACAGTGTGATGGTTCTTATCACTTTGCTGCTTATTTCTGGTGCAGTCTAAGGTCACCAGACAGGCTCAGGGCGTAGCTGTGACCCTCTCTGCTACAGCTGCCGTTGGATCGGAGCCAGCTGGTATGGCTGACTGTGGTGTGGTTTTATTGAAACAACAGCAGCGGGACAAGAAGCCGCATTCTTCAGGAAAGCTGAGCAGCCTCTGGAGCTGATGGCTCCCCTCCCCCATCCCCATCTTAAAAAATGTCTTGTTTCAAATCATAATTCCTCAGGAATTTCTCACAGGGAGCGGGATATTGTCTGAGACTCGGGTATCTACTATCCATCTAGGAGCTGAACTCAGTTTAGCTCTGTGTGTATGTTACCGGAGGGGAAACTCAAGTGTATTAAACCCAGTCTTTACATTAATGAAAAATGGCTGCTTACGCTGAACATGTGTTCACAGAGTATGTGAAAGAAACGAAGCACACCACTGAGATGTTGTTGTTTCTGGTGTTTGTGTGTTAAGAGGTCACTTTTTTTTCTCTCCCCCTTCCAGCACGGCTTTCACAAGTTAGGCTTTACAAGTGAGCAGAGCTGCCCAGAACTGCACTGAAGCTAAATCAAAGAGGCTGGCAGCCCTGCAGGGTGGCCAGCACAGCAAGAGGATGGCTCATGTTTTATTAGTGGAAAGACCTTCGGTGAAAGGACATTTCATTGCAACTTTGGGCATCCGTTCCTCACTAAACCCCCCAGACGCATTCCTCTACCAGCGCTCTATGCTTTTACTTATCAGAATGTCAAAAAACACACGCTCGCGGCCAAAAAACGGGTTTGCTCAGCGCAGCGGGGGGGGAAACTCACTGCTTCTGACAGAATCTGTGAGGGATTCTCGGTCCAGCGATGCATCCATCTGAGTCTGGTGCATCTGAAATACAAACATATTCAAAGTCACCTAATATCCATCAAGATTTGATTGGTACACGTTTATTAGTATCAATAAGGATCTTGACACATCCGGTAATCTAACATGTTCTGAGTTTTCAGCTTTAAGGTCTTTAGCTGTACATTGAAGGGAATGTAGCATGTTTTACCTTAATATGCTTTTTGAGGTATTCAGCTCTGTTCATGAGGCTTTTTATCTGTTGAGAGACATACATTTCCAATTAATGTTTAGGCGTGCATTTTCAAAACACAAGTCCTGGTACCTTTTGTTTAGCTTTCACTGACAATATGACCCCAAGTCGTGTTGGGTCGGGTTTTTTTTTCTCGCGCCAAAAGTCAAAAGACGTGTGGGGGAAAACACAGATCTAAATGTCTGATCCTTCTCTGCTGATCTGCTTCTTGGTTCGGTTTCTGAAAAACGCTCATATGGCAAACATGTGCGAGCAGTAACTCCTGTCATCAGAAGCTCGGGGGGGCTCTTTACTGTGGTAATCAGTCCCCTGGTGATCGTGGAGGCTCTTGGCTGCACCTCATACCTGGCTGCATCGCTAGCCCATCTTAACATAAAACTGAGCCACCCCTCATGAGAATTGCTACATGTAAGGGTGGTATTGACGACCGAAAACAAGGCAGTCAGCACTGACCACAGAGTCTGAGTACACGGCTCTGACCCTAATTTTATGTAGCCACACAACATTATACACAATCCTTTTAATCATCAAGAACAATAAATGTGGAAGAAATCCGCGTGGGTGAGCAGGGAGCACGAGACGTACGGATAGCTCCCAGTTTTCATGGTACGTATCATCAAATGCGACCGGCGATGAGAGAGCGGGATGAAAGGATCAACACGCACCAGCAATATCAAAGCCATGACTCACACATGAGAACTTCGACTCGGAGAGGCAGAAGTGCGTTCGGTAGTAGATGCGAGCAGCACACACTCGCGGAGGCCAAGCGTGGCAGCATGTGTTGGCTGTTTTGGCTTCTCGCGTACACACATGCTTTCAATTGAATCCCCCATCCCCGCCTCCCCACGCTGCGTTAGATTATTACAACCGCATCTGAATTTACTTAAGACAAGCACCCATAAAAAACTTCAAATAGGGAGGTCTATGAGGCCCACTCAGCGCACCAGCCCCTTCTCGTGGGGTTTGTTTATGAAAAGCTGTTGTGTGTTGTTTCAGTTGCTGGATAAACAATGCACAAAAGAGAAAAGACCCTGAGGAAGTATTGGCAGGCTCGCACGAGAACTCAAAAGGTATTAATTCAAGCTAAAATCCTGATGTTTGTTTTCAGAGTGCTAATTTCTTTTTGTTACAATCAGCAATGTAACGGAATATCAAAACACATCAAATTTATTCAAGAATGTTGAGGTCGTAGTTCAAAAGGCTGCACAGCATGTGGCCCACAGTAAAGCGGATTATTTTCTTTCAGTTATCTACAGCGTCAACAGAAAATCTGCAGCCCCCCTCCAAGTTCTCCACCTTTTATGTTTGGCATTTACAGTAAATTCAATTTTGCTTTTTTTTTCATCAACTGTATTCAATAGACTCCATTAGGCTCTCTGTAATTTGACATTTATGTTGTTAAAGTTCAAAATTACACCCGTTGTTTAAACATGTTTTTTTTTATATTTCTTTGCTTTGTCGTTGTAAATCTAAAATCTGGACTCTGACCGAGGGTTTGAAAATGTTTTTTCAGCAGTGTTTACTTTGTGAGGCAGCTGGAATTTTTATAGAAATCTGCTTTCTTTATCTGGTCTAAGCTGCTATGTGATGGCTTAATTGGACTTTAATGTAACATTCCAGCTAATGGTTTTTGAGTGTAGTAAAGAATTTAAAAGCCAAAACAGCTTTGACAGAGAGGCAAACGACGAGTGTGACCAAGTGTGTGTGGAATGCATCTTTTTTCCCATGGTCACACATACTCAGCCACAGTACTACCTCCTGTATGTTAACCACTCATTATTGTGGAAAACAAAGGCTTTGTGAAAATGCGGGTACACCACATTTTGTTTTGGTACATCAATAAAACCGATGCTAACGGTTAGTCTGGTGGACTTAGTGGATTGATAATATCCAATAAGGCTTTGCATTAAAGCCCTCATTCTATATTAGCCTATATTCTCGACTCAAGCTTTTTTGTGATTTTTTTCAAATCTACTCTTGAAGCTAGTCAGGCTGTTTAACTGGCAATGCACTAACTTTGTCCCTCTGCTGTTAGGAGCTGGTGTGGTATTGTAAAACTCTGTGTGTTTTGTTATTTGGCTTGGTTTGTGGTGACCAAGTAAAACCTGATTAGAGCTGGGAGTGTTTGGAGAAACAGTTCAGTTTATGAGCTGTAAAAGTCAAATAATTTGCTTAATAACACTGTAACAATTCATAGATGAAGCGAACTGGAGAATTTTTAAATTATATGCGTGTAAATATTACTCCAGATCCAGCGTGGAACATGATCTATATATGTCCAACAGGACTTATGGATGATTAATTAAGTTATTTGGTCTTCGCCATGAACTCACAAGCGCCTGCGGAAAAACAGAGTAATGGGTCCTGTGATGATCAGCCGGGGGCGTTACTAGAGGTGCCTTCTGTTTACCTGCACGCCGAATCCCTCCCTCACACACTCACCTCTCCATGGAGGAGCTCTCTCCTGCGGCCCTGGGGCTCAGCTGGCTCACAGAGAAAGACAGAGTAGGGGAGGGAAAAAAAGAGGCGAGAATAATGAAAACAGAGGAAGGGAAGGAGTTCGCTACAAAAATCACATTGTTTGTCCAAGAGGAGGTCGGCCACTAGATTGAATTTCTAGCATGAAGACTAGGGGCTTAAGAGTGGAAATTGTTCTAATGTAGGCCGGTGTTTTCGCAGTCAGACATCCTGGAGGGCAGAGTGACAGAAAGTGGGGAGGGAGGAGGAGGGCTCTGTGGTGGCGAGGCACGTTGGGAAACTGTGCGACAAAGAGCTCTTGGCTAAACAAAGAACCAATGTTTTCTCCCAACAATCACTGTGCTGGCATCTGCTGCGCCACACAACATGAACCCCTGACAGAGGAGAGGGAAAGAGGGCGGATTTAACCAGAGAATCAGAGCATCTTTTATCACTGATCCATGGAAAAAGAAAAGATGGAGGACCTACACAACTTGTCTAATAAAAGCCTTGATTTTATATCATACTTGAATCTCTTCAGTGACATTCTAAAGCAACTCAGATGATCAATCCAGGAAAATAGAATGAGAAAGTAAATAAGTGGGAAACATCTTTACCCACATGGAATTTCTTTAGCATAATCCCCCAAATGAGTAATATCTCTTCTATTAGAGAGGTAATTGTCTTTTTTTTCTCCTCTCCATAAATGAGACTAACAAATGTGTTGTCTGAATGGGAAGCAGATGGCTGGGCTCTCATACCACACACAGGGCGCTGGCATCGGGTCTCATCCCAGCTCAAAGCCACATCTGGATCACTCTATCCCACCTCTTCCATTAGGCCGATCTTCCAGATGAGCTCACGAAACCGGCTTAATGGGCGCCAGGCCACAGAGGGAGTCACTGGAGTCTCTTCAGTTACTGCTCCGTCTGTCACTTATTAGTTCCCATTCTCTCTGAGTCTACCACTCCGCCGTGTCTGGTCTTTCACTCCTTCTACGGGTTCAGATGGGTCGCTCACAAAATCGCTGTTCCCAGTTGGATCTTATCAAAACCTTCTTCCATGTGTTTTCTTTTTCAACCTTCCTCCTATTTTGTTACTATCATAACACACATTCTTTAATAAAAAATAAATAGTAATATTTGTAAAAATGCCAAACGGTTTCAAATTCTTTAACTATCTACCATGGAGTCCTAGGTTATTTGTGGCTCCATGAACAACCTCACTGCAACCAGGAATATCTGCTTGAAATAGAAAAATAGGTAATATATAAAAAAAGGCTTTTATTTACCTGCTAGTGCCAACAGTAGCTCACCCAAGCACTGCTGGTACATGTCCAGAGCCTCGTGATCATCTGTGCCACCCTCCTCCTATAACGACAGTTTAAAAACTTCTTAACATGACCACCAAAGGACCAATGTCCAATGACAATAAAACTGACGATTAAAAAGTCTTAAATCTTGATAGTTTGATAGATGTTTGATAGTAACAATAAATAATGTGCTTGGATTCCAAGTTTTGACATTTTCAGTCAATAAACAAAAGAAACAATCTTTTTCTTTTTGAACGTTGTCAGTTTGTTTTTATGTTACATTCACTTTAACGAACCCTTCCACAACACGGTGAATCAGTGAGCACGTCTAACCTTAGCGACAGCTATCGAGGCCATGTTCAAGGCAGCGAGCAGTCGAGGCTGGTCCTTGGCCATTTCTGCAGGAGAGGGAAAATCAAAACACATCTGAGTTCTTCTGTGCACGTGACTGTTTCACGAGATGCACTGATAAGCCACAACAACCACACAACCTAAAAAAACAAATACGTCTTTTAGTTTCAAGTGGAGCAGATGCTGCTGGTGGAGTCTACCACCAGATCATTGGTAGCAGAGTTTTTCTTCCAGGGGGAGGACAGACACCCTCATAGTTTTTTTTAACACTGTCTCTGTGCTTTGGTTTGTAGAAGGACTAAGGAGGCTGCTCCACTGGCATCACAGTGCTCAGGCTTTAACAATAAACGGATGGATTATACGCACCTCTGTGAGGACATATTTTACACTTTTATCCACTTCACTTCTATAAGATGTTTAAATAAATTATGGTTATTTTTAATAAAAACTGCAAAAAAAACAAAGAAAAACACCACAAACTGAATGGATGACCACATTCTACCAACTCGTCCTTTTATTTTTGCCTGGAAAAGGCTCAATGGCCCCGTCTCTGCACTGTGTAGCCTCCTGTTACCTCGGAGAACATCTCTGGATGTCCGGGCCTCCTCAAAGCTCCGTCTGTTGTCCGAAGCTAGCAGGGCTTTCAGTTCCTCGGCTCTGGACACGTACTGTTTGACCTGCGAAGAGCACCTCATTAGTTGCCACCAAGTACATTTGTTCAACACAACCCCGATGTGTTCTACGTTGTGAGGCCTACCTTCTGCCTCAGAACATCTTTGCGCTGTCGGTCCGTCTCATCTGGGGAGGGAGAAGAGACGCTGGTTTTAACCTAGTGACTTTTCCTTTCCCCTTTCTTGTGCCGGAACAAAGGCAGCTCATTGTTGAAGGGCTTAAGCCACAGGCAGGATATGAGAGGGCTTGTTGCTCTTACAGTGAATAGCTGGGACAAAGTGCTCAAGTGCACTACAGTAAAGAGAGAGAGCAGCGGACCTCTCCCCGTCCTGATCCCTCTGAACGGCCTGCGTCACCAGCTCTTTCTGAAATAACCAAATACAAAGTATCGTCCATAGGACTATCTATGCAGGTGTGCTTTGTCAATCACAGACTTAAATGTAGTCATTTTTATGTTCTCTGGTCGTCTTACTGCTTTCACTATGCTCTCTGCACTTGGCATGTGCTCCATGTCCACAAAAGGGTGAGTGAAGAACTCTGCAAAGGTGATCCGAGCGTCGGGATTCCTCTCAAGCAGCCGCAGCAAAAGGTCCCTGCAGTCCTTGGACACCCTGGCCCCTGGAGGAAGCTGATCACAACACAGCACAGCCTTACTATGTCACACCTAATCCAAGCGATGGTTTAAGGCGGAAAAAACGGGACGGCTTTGATGTCAATTACCCTTCAATCTCATATTACCACTTTCGGGTATAAGACGACCTTTCAGCTCGATGTGAATTGCTGGATGGCACGCTGATGCGAATATTTAAGCAGCATCCTCTAATGTTGACTAAACTGTCTGCAATCATTCATAGGATTGTGGATTGGGTGGGACATAATAAGGTTGTGTAATTATAACATTATAACTAAGACAAATTCTAAAATTTGAGGTGATGCATTACATGAAGTGTACTGTTGAATATGCCTGTTGCCCATTAAGTTGCATGGGACAGTATGCCATCTAGTGGTCGAAAAGTGGAACTCAAAGAAACGAGGCAGAAAAGGTTTTGAGTGATTTGAGAAAGGTGCAAACAACAAATCACCGAGCAAAACCGCCGTACTGTTTTAAAGCACCAAAAAAAGTTACAGGTTCTAACTTTCGGATAATCACTAACCTCAATAGGCTGATTACTCCTGATCTTGTCCTCCAACTCAGCGTATGACTTGGATGCAAATGGAGCGCGTCCAAACAATGCTTCTGCACAGAAGCAATGCAGAAAATACAACACTTAAACAAATGAATTAAGGGCAGTGACTTACTGAATGCTACATATATTTTTTTAATGAACTTTGATGGTAGGTGTAGTGATGACACAGTGGCTGCTGCTCCAAATACCTCAATAGTAAAATGACTTCTGCTCTGTTCTAAACCGAGTGTGGGCCTTCAGATGGTGAGGGCCTTTTCCACTCATCAATTACTCCTACACAAACACATTTCCAAAGGCAAAATAACTCTTCTGGACTAATCTCTACACTTGAACACAACAATGTTCTCACAAACAATGCTGACCGACTTGTTTTTGGTAATCGTGTGGGGGCTGATGGCTCTTCAGCCTGAAAACCTTAGTGTAATTTCACGATACCCCATGTGTAAATCAAATTAATATTCTGTGTGATTTCAAAATGATATCTAAATTTCACATAACAAACTTAAGGTTATTGTTAGACCAAATTAATGAAAGGCTAAAACTTTCATTCCAACCATTTAATGACTTAAATTGTCACTCTAAAGCAGTGTTAAAGCTTTAATGCTTGACTGTTAACCTCACAAAAAGACCCTGCACTGGCCTGTCAGTACATGACTGATGGTTCAATTTTGTTCTGACCAACAGAGCGCGCTCCATAAAACCTGCAGGTCTACTCAACTGATTAGCCATTTAATGTTGAAAAAGCAGCAGGGACAAGGTGTTATTAATCACAATTTAATGGGCAGCGAAAAGGCCACATTACAACAAACTATCTGGATAAGTGTTATAGATACATTACATTTAGCAGATAATTTGAGCCGGAGCTTGATTCCTGTTGAAAGGATATACCCAAAAAGAGAATCTGGATTACTCACCGTACAGAATGACCCCCACAGACCATAGATCCACCCTTGAGTCGTACTGGTGTCGGCACACCATCTCAGGAGCCATATAAAGAGGAGAACCTCTCAGAACACTCTGCTCATCCCATGGTGACATGTACTGTGCAAATCCAAAATCTGAGAGAAAATGTCATTTTATACCATCCATTGTCTGATAAATGACCCAAAAAGCATCTGAAAAACCCATACGCTCACCTGCTAGCTTCAGGACGGAGCCGCTGAGCAAAATATTCTGAGGTTTCAAGTCCAGGTGTGAGATGTTTCGTTCATTAAGAAACTTTAGGGCACAAGCTGTTAAAACCGAGAGATTACACACAACCATATTAAGCTCAGCACTTATCCTCCAGCTGATACTGAGCAGGACACCCTATTAATTCGTGTTTGTTATTAAAAGCATTTACAGGTAGATTTAAACTCAGCAAAGACTTACCCATCTGCTGCAGGAAGCGCCTGGTCACACATTCTGGTAAAATCCTGCGACTGTGAATGAAGCGAGAGAGGTCTCCCCCAGAGCACCATTCCAAAATGAGATAAATGTTCTCGGCATCCCACTATAAACAGAGTTCAATACCTCTAAAAATAATGCCAGTCAACGACGTTATCCATAAAGTGCTCTGTTAAACAAAACTGAACTAAAAACTATTTTCATAAACAGGTTAGCAGTTACTTAAATTAAAAAAACAAAACGAATAGACTGCTATAGCTAAAACATTTGACGTGCTATGAAAGCACAATGCCTGGAACGTATTTAGGTGTTAAAACTCTGCCCCACATCAAGGTAAAGGAAGAGACATGTGTATAAGGACAGCATATGTATAAATGCCTTTCCCGAGGTTTTTATGGAGAAAAGAGAGTGATTGTGATAAACCAGAAGGCTGGATTCTGAGACTACATGGAGCAGCTTATCCAGTAAAAGTGTTGGAGGAAATGAGACAGGTACTGCTTTGCATAACTAAGATTGAATAAGCGGCATTTGTTAGGTTTCGTAACAAAGAAGTAGATACTAACTGAATCTTAGTTACTTATAAATGTGAAAACATAAAGATATTAATATAAAAAGCCAAATTTCACCTTAAATCTTCACAACCATGTTATAGGGTAACAACATTTTGAATTGACTGCATTTGTTCAACAACCTCCTCAGTTACTCACAGTTGTGGACTCTGTGTACCATTTAAAACAGTGTGCACAGATCACAACACATTCCAATCTATCAGAAAGAGACCTAATAGGCGGCTGGTACCTGAAAGTCTTTCAGCTGGACTATATGAGGATGACGTATAGTCTTCAGGATTTCAATCTCCGTGAGCAGGTTTTCCGTCGAAGCCTTGTTTAGAGTTTTCTTCCCAACGACTTTTATTGCAACCACCTCGCGATTGTTACCCTGCAAAAACCACAGCAAAGAGCTCCACTTTCTCCACACCCCAAAACCATACTGCCCACCTCAGTTCAGTCAAAACAAGCTCAGGAAACTGTGCTGCTGACCGGCATTCACACCGTGCAGCCACAACTGATCTTTTTGCAGTGACCAGAAAGTTCCCCCTGACTTTTTCGTGAACTCACCTTCCTGTAGGCCTTGTAGACTGTGGCATATGTCCCACTGCCCAACCGCTCTGTAAGGATGAAATCTGGTAGCTTTGGAGGGGCGAAACTGGAACTGGAGGCCATGCTTACAAGGCAGCATCAGATTATAAACTGGAATACAATATTAACATGCTGATGTTAGCAACTAAAGGTTTTCTTAAAACAAGAGGGTCAGGGTGTGGAATTTTGGAAAAGCCTTCGGGTGCAGGTTTTACAATAATACTGTTAAGTCAACTATTTTTCAAAACTTTTGCATGATTAAGCGTTGTTTCCAGGCACACCCATTAATGTCCATCCACACGAAAAACATTTACGTTTGAGAAGGCAAGCCAGTCAATTTTTATTACATGTATGAAATCCTGACACGAAAAGAAACCACAAAACACATTTTTTTAAAAACTGAACGTGCTGTAAACTGTGTTAGCAAGCATCGTTCTAGCAAGCTAACATGGCAGTTCCTAAAATGTTCAATTTACAGCTATCTGTCCAAACACTATACGAGTTTTGAGTCTATCGTTACCTTGGACTTAAACGGAAAATAAAAAGAAATGGTGGAGCGGTGCGCGCATATTTGTAACTAACCTCGAGGCTAATCCACTGCTAGGAATTCAGTGTTTACATTGCATCTGACAGGCAGAGGTGGCCGCACACTGCAGCTGAAAAATAATCATCTAAAATTCTGTCACCGCCCCCTAGTGGCGGTGCTCCGTTACTGCAAATACAGGGACCGGTTTTGAATAAATAATTGTTCAGTTCAAAATAGAATCCAAAAATGAGCATTTCATGTTTTTATTAATTAATTGAAAATTATTCAGATAAATTATGACATAGGCTGGACCAAAAAAATAGAAAAAGCAAACCTTTTGGTATTACGAAAATTTGGGATATTTTTCAGAAATATGTTATTTCTTTGTTTGATGGCCATTTATGTTTTTTGACGATTTCAATTTTAGGTTCAAGACTTTTATTCTCCCCCAACCGGAAGCAGGCCGTCGTTGGTGGTCATTTAAAAATGGCGGAGTGCTTTTCTGCACGTTTGACCGCACAGGAGGAGCAAATTCGGCTCCTGACCGAGGAAATAGCCGGTCTTCGGGATGGACTGAGCAACGGTGTGGTCGCGGTCGGAGTTGCCGCTGTAAAGCCGGAGCTTGAGAGCTTGCGGTCGGAGAACGAGAAGCTGAGGTACCGGCTGCTGCACCTCCGGAGGGCTCTGCAGGCGGAGCTGGAGCTGGAGGAGGCTCAGGGCAAGAGACAGCAGGGGGCTAAAGGTGGCAAACCCCCGGAGAAAGGCAGCGACAAACCCAGCCAGCAGAAGAATGACCGAGCAGATAATGGGGTAACGGATAGTAAACGCTATTCGGTTAATAGGTTAAGTCATTTCTAAAACCGTTATGCAGGGGGCACGTTATGGTGCTACACACGTTTGAGTGACAAGGCTTCTGTCTGATCAAGTAGAATGACACAACCACAGCAACCCCCTACTAGAAATAGCCACCCCTGTTCAGTGTAACCACGTCCGTAGTGTTTATGTTTGTTGTGCTTGTAACAAAGACAGTGGGGTGAGTGTTGATGGTGAAAATCCACTGAAACATTTTTTTTTTAAACAGCTACCAATCCATGACAAAAAAAACAATGACAAGGGCAAGAAGGAGAAGAAGCGGGATAAGGTCCAATCAGATGGAAGTGCGAGAGAGGTAAATTTATCTTCTAACAGGGAAAAAACAGTCACATTTTATTCCCCGGTGTATGACAAACGACGTGTAATCTTAAAGAATTACTCAATATTTATATACCAAATGCAAAACTCAAGGAATTTGTTCAATTCTGTCTCCTGAAGCTGAATCAGTGGCCTGAATTTGTCCCCGAGCGCCTCAGTCTTTACGAGGAGCTGAAGAGGGAGAGCGACGCCCTGCTATCAAAGAAAGCTGCCAACAGCAAGCCCATTTCTGTGGAGCTGCCAGACGGTCAGAAGGTGGAGGGCAGGTCATGGGTCACCACGCCCTATCAGCTGGCCTGTGACATCAGGTAATCCTGTCTGTCATGGTACTGATGGGAGTCCCCGGCATCTCTGAGAGCGCTGTGCTCCGTCTTTTAGCCAGGGCCTGGCTGACAATGCAGTGATTTCTCGCGTGAACGGGGAGCTGTGGGATCTCGACAGACCTCTGGAGCGGGACTGCTCTCTTCAGATCTTGCGCTTCGACAATGAAGACGCTCAATCTGTGAGTACCAGTCAGGCAGACGCCCACCAATTCCTGAACAGGGAAAATGGATTTAATTGATTTTGACGTAAATCTTCGTCAATATTCTGCATTACTACCTTTTTTTGTGTATTTGTTTAAGCCACAATTCTCAAATAGTGGCTTAAACAATGAGGAGGAGAAGTCGTCTACAAAAGTAGACAAAGAAAGAAATTAAATTGGGAAATACAATCATCTTGACTACTTATCCAGTGCCAAAAGTAATTCAATTTAAGATAACTGCAAGAAATTAGGACTATGGGAATTTACAATAGTCAGTTTTCTTTAAGAAATGACACTAACATAATCTGATATCCCATATTTGAGGCTTGGTCGCAGTAATATCAAACGATTATAAAACAAAATGCTAAGGCATAGTTTTACCCGGAATGTCAAAAGAAAGCGAGTCACGCATGAACACAGTTGTTCCATATGTTTTGTTACATCTTTGTCTGGTCCTCAGGTGTACTGGCACTCCAGCGCTCACATCCTGGGGGAGGCAATGGAGCGCTTTTATGGAGGTTGTTTGTGTTATGGACCCCCCATAGAGAATGGCTTCTACTACGACATGTTCTTAGATGGACAGAAGTGAGAAAACATTCTCATTTTGAACTCTGATTTTTATCCTATTTTTGTTTGTTTTGCTTTTAATAACCCACAATGTCCAAGATTGTTTGGGGAAATTTGCAGGGTAAAAATGAATAAATTAGATTTTTTTTTTAATAATAATTTCAGGCATTTTGAATGAGTTTTTATTATAGAAAGAGGTCTCCACTTTTTTCTTTACAATATATTAGGATAAATCTACATTATAGTATCTGAAACAGAATAAAATGTGGGCAGAAATGATATAATTTGCTATGATTCTTTTTAAAGTACTATCATCAAATGAATATGCTTGCTGTTGCCAGGTCCGTGTCAAGCTCCGAGTTTGGGGACCTGGAGTCTTTGTGTAAGACTGTTGTGAAGGAAAAGCAGCCCTTTGAGAGGCTCGAGATCAGCAAAGAGACACTTCTGAAAATGTTCAAGGTCAGCAGGAAAATGAACGAGGGGATTGTCTGCTTGGTTAAAGGATGAAACCACGGAATTGAAATTCAAACCCCGAATGTGCTGTGTGGTTTGGATGTTTTTTAAAGAGCTTTGGCTGACATGGAAAAAACGACTTGTTCAATTGGCCCCCCCCAAAAAAAACCTAAATGAAATTAAATGTTTAAATCAAGGAATAAAAAAGAAAGAAATCAACTTTTCTAAACCAAGTTTTTTATTCTGCTAAATTAAATGGCTATTTATGGTTCTTCCAGTACAACAAATTCAAGTGCCGCATTCTGAATGAGAAGGTCAAAACGCCCACCACCACCGTCTACAGGTACACAGGCCCATTTGGGTTTTTTTCTTTTCTTCTAAATGCTGTTATCCTCAAAAATTAATACATGCTGCATCTTTTATTTAAATTGAAATATTAGCGTGTTTTTTGTCTATTATCCTAAATACTGAAACATCTGAATCTATGATAGATGTGGGCCTTTGATCGACTTATGCAGAGGCCCCCACGTCAGACATACGGGGAAGATTAAAGCAATGAAGATTTACAAGGTATGAGGACAATGTTGCAAACCAAGGGGCCGTAATTGAGCTTATTCTTCTCACAGATTCATTTTTACTTCAGAATCTTACCAGAATCTTTCGAAATAGTTTTCATGATCACATTTGGATTAAGGGAATAACTTTTGTTAAAAGGAATCTTGTTTTTTCTTTTTTTTCTGCACGGTGTTAATGTCCGTTTGGCCTTTTCCATCAGAACTCCTCCACTTACTGGGAGGGCCGCTCAGACATGGAGACTCTACAGAGGATCTACGGGATTTCCTTCCCAGACTCAAAGATGCTGAAGGAGTGGGAACGCTTTCAAGAGGAGGCAAAGAACAGAGACCATCGCAAAATTGGCAAAGTGAGTCACTGTGGGCAGCCTGGTTTTAGCCCACCCAGCAGTTAGACGCCTGGGAGCTGAAAACTAAAGCTCAAATGCATTAGAGGTTTTTGTGGATTGTTTTTTGTCTTTTGAGGCTCCTATATAAGTAGATTTATAGATTAATCAAATGTAAATTGGTTTTTAATCCTTCTGGTGGAATAGTTGGTTTGTTTGGATAATTGTTGGCATCCGCGGCTGTTCAGTGAGAGGCAGTTTCAGAAAAGCTTCTCAGTTTTGTTCAATGCCTCCATACACCAGCTGAGGGCACTGTGTGTCCTCCTGCTGGTACGTTTGGGACAATCATGAGTCACCCAAGCACCCCAGCTGGTTTCCCAGCATGGGAGACACAGAAGGCAGCACCTCAATCAGCACTTCTAATAACACAGTTCCATATTAAACGCAAAGAGTGGGGAAAATGCTGCTGATTTCAGTTGGAAGGTGGTGGCAAAAGTGGCATGTTGTGCGAAAGATGGTGCTCTGTGGCAGGCCTCCGGCTCCACCGTCCTCTGTCTGCACGGGTAAGAGCGCCACGGCTCTGATTTTGGTCTGAATGTGTCCAGCTCTCTTTGACTTCCGACTTTTCTAGAAAAAAATCTGATAAAATTGCCAAGATGGTCATTTTCCACCCAAGTTCATTTAACTTCAATTCGGCCAGAATTATGTTTCGAAGTGGTGGAGTGTGTAAACTCATAGTCCCCGTTTGTCAATTAACAGTGCCTGGTACATTTTCATTAATATAGTTCTATTCTTTTGAATTGCATATCCCACTCTTCACTCTGACTAAGATCTTTTTCAGCCATCAGAGAATTTTCTGTCCTTCTCTCCAGCTGTGAGGACACAGGAAACCTGTGTGTGATAATTGGATACCATCCCGATGTGCATGAAGTGCGTTTCACCATCTGTACCTGTGGATGAGGAGGAGAAGTTGTTAAAAAGTTGATTTTGTCTCCTTCCCAGGATCAGGAGCTGTTCTTCTTCCATGATCTCAGCCCTGGCAGTTGTTTCTTCATGCCGCGTGGAGCCCACATCTACAAAACGCTCACGGAGTTCATAAGGGTAGGAGCGGAAGCTATGTCTGTGGTACTAGTTATGTTTGACAAATGAAGCACATTTTGTCACATTCATTATCAAGGTTTTCTTAAACTTACGTGTCGAAAACATGTATTGGGCTCAAAATGGCTTATTTCTGTCGAAAATCTGGATTCAATATTAAGGTAAATTTGTGCCTCATATATGTTTGAGTTCATTAAGTTTAATTTTACGTCAATATTGATTTGAAACAAAACATACCAACTTTTGAAATAAACTTTTTAGTAACTAATTAGTTGCCCTATTTGAGCTTTGGTCGGTAATTTCAAAAGAAATATTTTCTCAGAAGACCCATAAATATATGTATATTTTTCAAATTTTGGTATCTCAATTGAGAGCTTTGTCAGTGGGAGTTAATCCTCATTTCATTTGGATAAAAGTTTTTAAAGCCTCTCCCCTTGCTCTTGTGTAGCATTTATCATTTTGAAAGCAAAGCGCTGCAGCGATGTAGTCCACGAGGCTCAAGTTATACTTAACATTTCCAGTGGGCTGGTGGTGATTGCCACTTCACGCTAAAATGCCGACCACTTACTAACAGTGAATAGTTTTGTTCAGTTTTGCAAGTTTAAATTAATCTCTTGATGCTAGAAAATTCTTGGTCCATTTCTGGGGGCTGTTGGTAGACTGAATTACAAACATATTGCTGTGTATGAGATAAAACACTTACATTGGGCTATGTTCTAGTTAGGCCTTCTTAAGTTAAAATCAAAGCCAGAAATATCCAGATGCGGTTGAATAATGGATAAAGTGAACAGAGAACCTCGATTTCAGTTTGAAACTTCAAGTAACTTCCAAAGACTCAGTCGAGTTCGGTGACTACAGGAATTCTTGACGTATTTGCCAGGATAAGTTGACATCTTGAAGGCTTTCACAGCACACACCCACAAACCAGACCAAGCCCGGAGGACCTCACATAGATTGCACAAAAATGGTGCAAGATCATTATCACGTCACTCAGACTCTGTTATTACAGCGAAGGGGGGAAAAAAACTAAAGTATGCATTTGTGTCTTCCACATATATAAGAAGACAGTGCAGGGAGTTCTGTATATGAAATTAGAAAAAAAAAGCATATCCTCTTTCAGTGTTGCTATTTTACAAATGAAGACCTAAGAAAATCATCTGGTAATCATCAGGTAAATACGATAAGGTAAAAATAACCTCAACTAAACATTAGCAGATGACAAATGATGCCATTTTGGCATTTATTTAACAAAACTAAGCCATATATAGAGGTGTTGACGGAAAAACTAAGCAAAGCCTTACAGCTTTCATAAGCCGGGTCATTGCAGCCAGGGCTTGTGGATCAGATGCACTTAATTAACTGATCACCAGCATATAGGATCACCCTTACGAAAGCAGAATTGTTTGCGATGTGGAACATTCATGTGTGTTCACCAGGGAAAAGAAGAAAAACTGAAAGGATTTCAGTAGTAATCGCTGCTGCCACTCAGTCTGGAAAGAGTTACGGGGAAGGTCATTTCCGAACAATCTGAAGTCCATCACTCTGCAGAGGGAAAGGTTAACACATTTGGAAAAAATATATTCAACCCAGTTGTAAATTTTCCAAGGCATTGCTGTCCAAGCAAGTTCAGCCACAAGTCAGATTGCACATAGCCTGGAAACGCAACAGATGGATGGGCTGCAACAGGAAAACAATTTGTAGCAACTATACCATGTCCATCCTTCTGTTTTTTTTCAAACCAGTTTAATCCAATTCATGAGCGCAGTGGGGGCTAGTGTACAACCCAGCTGCCATTTTGTGAGGGATGGGTTACTAATCCATCACAGAGAAAGGGAGACGATAGAAAAAATAACAGCGCATACTTACATTTGAATGTATGAAAGCAAAGTTAAGAGGTGGTCCAACTTCATTTTTTTTTGGGGCTGTTAATTTTTTTTATATGATTATTGAACACTGGTAAAAGAAAAAACAGCTGACCATTTTCTCATTCCCTGACTTTCAAAACTGAAATCAGCAAGCTGGCTCCTGACAGATTCTGTCAGATTCTGAAGCTGTACTATTTTGATAGGAAAAGCTGACTGAGCATGCATCGTCTCCACCTCCTTTCTTTTATTCACAGTTCCACACAAATCCCTCCGGCTACACCAGCCTCCCACTGTTGGCTGCCAAACAGCTCAACAGGCCATCACATTTCTTTTTTCTGAAGCGCAACAAATGGATAAATAAAACCCACAAGATGTTGTTTTCACTGCCGTGGCCTGAGGTTTCAGGCTTTTGCTCAGGGAAGTACCTGTGCAGTCCAGCTGGAGCCTTGAGCTCATGCGGTTTTGCTTGTTTTTCCTAGGATGAGTACTGGAGAAGAGGCTTTCAGGAAGTAGCCTCCCCCAACATCTATAACAGCAAGCTGTGGGAGACATCTGGCCACTGGCAGCACTACAGCGAAAACATGTTCTCCTTTCCTGTGGAAGACGACATCTTTGCTCTGAAGCCAATGAACTGTCCCGGCCACTGGTAGATTTAAAACGCTCTGAGGGGAAATACGCTCTCCCTGTGGTTTGCATATCAGACATCTGCACAGAGTTCAATATCTGCATTTTTATTCGTTTATTTAATTCTTTTATTTTTTGCTGCAGTCTGATGTTCAGCCACAGGCCTCGCTCATGGAGGGAGCTTCCCCTCAGGCTGGCAGATTTTGGGGTCCTCCACAGGAACGAGCTGTCGGGGACTCTGACCGGGCTCACCAGGGTGCGGCGCTTCCAGCAGGACGACGCCCACATTTTCTGCACGATGGACCAGGTTGACCACACTCCGTGCTTGAAAAAGAATAAAAACCTACTAATGCACACCGTCCTAAACCAAGACTCTCCACCGAACCGCAGATCGAGTCGGAGATGAAGGGCTGCCTGGACTTCCTTCGGTGCATTTACAGCGTGTTCGGGTTCTCCTTCCAGCTTCACCTCTCAACTCGTCCGGAAAAGTATCTGGGCGACATAGCAGTGTGGGACCAGGCCGAAAAGGTTCGTCAGTTACAGCCCAGAGCATAAAACATTACTCAGGCATGGCTTTGTTTTCTGAACATTTACATGAACACTGTTTTGATTTTGGCAGATAATTCCATGTGCAAAAATTTGGCTCCGTGCAGAAAAGAGTTGGTTCTTTGCCATGAATGCAATCTTCCTGTAGTATCACATCTGTGAGTCATATGAAGTTCATGAAATTCTTGTAGGCGGTGTGTTGCCAATAAAATCCATTAGTCAGTTGTTTCACTTGGATTTGATTATCACTATTCAGTTGGATGTTGAATCAGGGTCTACTTAAAATGGAAACAAAAAGCCATTAAGCAGTACCGAGTGTCGGCTAAACTTCTGCTATTAATTGTGCACTTAGCTCCAGACTCTGCTGGCCTCACAGTAATTGCCTGTCCTTGTTTGGATTTGAATATTACTAATCTCCTGCCCCGTGTTTGACAGCAACTGGAAAACAGCCTGAATGAGTTCGGGGAGCCATGGAAACTCAACCCCGGCGATGGTGCTTTTTATGGACCCAAGGTCTGGGCATATTTATTCAAACCCCCTGCCAAACGCAACATCAGCTTGACTCTGAAGTCTTGAAAGAGATGCAGTTCTTTTTTTTGCCATTGCAGATTGACATTAAGATCAAAGACGCAATCGGACGTTACCACCAGTGTGCAACCATTCAGCTAGACTTCCAGCTGCCTGTTCGCTTCAACCTGACCTTTGTGGGGTGAGTCACCTAATCAAAACTCTGCCACACTGCTGAGTCTGTGCGCTCAGCTTCACCAGGGATTAGATGTTAAGCCCTCTCTAGGATAACAAGTTGCAGCTTTTGTGTCGTGTACTACAGAGTTGCATTGTTTCAGAAGGGGCAAGTTGTGTGCAAATTTCAGCCCAGAACAGCAGTAAATTCAATTAACTTTGTGTTAAAAGGTACAACGGGGCACATCTTATGCATCAGCAGGTCATAGATATGTTTTCAGTATCACAAAGGCAACAGTGAAGTAGAAAACAAATGGATTTAAGACCAGAGGGTGAAGGTATTAGTGATTACTTGACGATTTGTTTTTAACTAAATCTGAGTGTTTTTCTCTCTTTTTAATTTTTTTTTTTATTCTTCCCCTCTTGTTTTCTGTGACAACAGAAAGGATGGCGATGACAAAGCCCGACCAGTCATCATCCACCGTGCCATCTTGGGTTCAGTGGAAAGGATGATTGCCATTCTCACTGAGAACTATGCAGGAAAATGGTGAGTGCATTCTGGAGGCATTTTAGGGCTTCAGTTTTAAAAATGCCAAACAAATACAAATCAACACTGACTGCTTAGGCTTGTCACTTCGCTCCGCATTACATATGAGAAATCAGATGGTTTTTGCTGATGACTCCAGTTGTGGTGTATACATCTGTAAACAGAGATGTGATATACCAGTTCTCTTAAAATAGATGTTTTTATTGATATCACATTGACCAACAGAAAAGGTTTCACCCAAAGATTCCTTTTGATTTAATGTTTTCCTGCTCGAGGGTGGTCTTTGATGCCCCTGTCCCTCTTACAGGCCCCTGTGGCTCTCCCCACGTCAGGTGATGTTGGTGCCTGTCAACCCCTCCTGTGAGGATTATGCCAAGAAGGTATAACGTTACTCCCAAATTGTATCCACACTTGGATAGTATCACATGAATCGGGTTAATATCTATGACATTCAAAAGAGTAGAACATAATGAAATGATAATAACAAGAAGTGGTCATTTTTATTTTTCAGATGTGTAAGAAGTTCACAGAAGCTGGTTTCATGGCGGACTCTGACCTGGACTCTAGCTGTCTTCTAAACAAGAAAATCCGAAATGCCCAGTTGGCTCAATATAACTTCATTCTTGGTGAGAGGAAACCGTACTGTGTTCATAGTACATACATTTTATTTTTTATTTTCTGAGTTTTTAATACCCAAACTTTTTTATTAAACAATTTCTAAGTGAACTTATTAAACCACGTGCCCTTTTTCATGACTTGCGGGCTTTTACTTCAGTTAGAAAAGCACATAATGAAACATTACTTTGGATGACTATACCTTTGGAACTGCACAACTGGCACTAACACGGCCTTTAGTGAGTCAAAATAAGAATTTCTAATTGTTGTGCAGGACTGGTCAAAAGGGACGTCCAAGCTGGCGAGCCACCCACAGTTTTTGGAGTCACAACACAAATTGGGGACTGTGTTAGGGTAGCTGTGTGTGTGGTGTTGTTTGGCCCATATCAAGCTGTTGCTGTATTCTGTCTTGGCAGTTGTAGGGGAAAAGGAGAAGATGACTAACACCGTCAATGTGCGCACCAGAGACAACAAGGTCCACGGAGAGCTGTCGGTGTCCGAGGTGATGGCTCGCCTGACCCTGCTCAAACAGTCCCGCTGTCAAAACGCAGAGGAGGAGTTCTGATGAATGCAAGAGAACAAAACCGACTCTAACGCTTAGTTAGCTCAGTGATAACAGTGCAGCCAAAGGAGCAGTTGGTGGGCTTATGGGATGTTTGAAGATGGCATTAAGAAAGTTTAACACAGACATTTGTTCTGTATGTAAATCTAAAAAAGGTGAGGGGGGGGACAATACATTCAAGGGTCTATGAAGGAAAAATACTGTTTGTTTAGAATGTTTTGGAGCTGACAAATGAAATCCACGTAGTTCCATTCTGTGTGAAAGAAAGAAAGTTGATCTGATCGTGCAAGGACAGTGTGATAAGTGTAATTTGTGAAACTGGCACTGCCTTATTGTCATTGAGATCTGCCTTCATGGAAAAAAGCCAATAAATAAATCTTCCAAATGAGCATTGTGTTTCTTCACTCTTATAGAATAATAATGTCACATTTAAGCAAGAATAACATGACAAACTAGTTGTTTCTTCCATCATGAGAACTGCTGAGAAGACTCTTATCAGATCATTTGGCCCCAAAGAAAATGTTCACTAAGTGAAAAAGAGCTTGGCAATGTTTGCCGTGACAGCTGACCATTCATCATTTCTATTGAGCAATACACACCCACATTCTCGCAGCAAGTGATGAAAGGATAATTTAGTAACATTCCATTCTGTCATGCAGAGAAAAGCATCACTCCTAAAGTCCCTTCTGTGGACATAATAAAGGAAATCTATTACATTTCCAAAATTAGCAGGAAGTGGCACTTAACGCAAGTGATAGTCTTTATTTGGTCTTCACATTTGATCATTCCTATTTAGTGCTTACTTTTATGAGACACAGTTATCTGTGAGATATGTAATGACACTAAAACTTAAATACTGCTATTAATTCCAGTGATAAATGGATGTATTTGTTTTCATATTTTGATGCAGTATTCTTAACTGAAATTTATGTAACAACCGCAACTATATATCCGTTTTATTCGTAGGGTCCGCATTGTTTTAGCAATAAACAGACGATCAAATGGTCCCTAAGATATACAGAGACGTTTTAATTCGCGACCACTATGCCTCCTCGTCCCGATCTATCATTTTTCCTACGTACTTGAACGCAGCACGTTGAATCTTGTTCCGCAGCAACGATGGCTGCTAATTGTCAGCTGTGGCGACCAGACCGAGGACGGTCCTTCAGACACTACGGAATTATTTCCATGTTGTTTATGGACTTGCTATTACAGTGCGTTAATGGTATGTTTCCAGTAACCGCTATGTTTATGTAACATACATCATTAGAGGGGTTTCGTTCGACGTTAGCCTTCTGAAAGTGCGCTAGCATTACTTAGCAAGCTAACTCATCACAAACCAGGGCTGGCTACCTAGCAATGAAAACGGTTACTAAGCGATAAGCGGATATGTAACATATATTTACTATAGGCAGCAGGTAGATTTCCTTAAAGCTGCCGTGTTTTGTTTGCTGTCAGATGATGCTGTTCGTTTAGTGTCTCGGGCCATTTAACAGTAAAGCAGTATTATTAAGTTTTGGGCCATAGTCGTAGTGGATCACATGATAAGACTCAAGCTTTGTCTTTTATATTTCTCTTTTCAGGGTATTTGAGTTCTCCGCACATGGGCCAGGATCCTCCCTACACCAGAGATGCTCAACATGGACCAGTGATCACCAGCCCTGTGGTCCCTGCTGTAACCTCCGGTAAGCACCTATTCACTGCTGGGGAACCAAACCAAGCTGTCAAAGGGATGAGAAAGACCACTAGCTTTAAGCACTGGTGAAAGTAGCACGGCCCAAAGTACAGGTGCACATGAAGACTTTTTATTATTTAGGTTATTTAGAATTGTACAGAGTTTGTAACCCAAAGAGACTTTTTTATCCTATGGTAATTGCAAGCTGCACATTTAGACTTAAAGTATCTGTTGTTGTTCTACAAACAACATACTAGGATGGAAAATGGTCAAGTTTTGTCTATTATTTGCTTAGACGTGTTTTTTATTGTCTGTTAAAGCAAAAGGAACAATGTCTTTGTGTTTGTGGAGGTTATTACTTTTCACAGAGCATGGACAGTTCCCTTTTGTGCAATAACAACCAGTAATGGAGCAATTTGAAGTGAATTGCTTTGCCACATCAGTCTGCTGAGTTGCAGAGGTATTGTCATTCACCCCCAGCAGCGTAATCACTTTTGGAAATGCAGGATGATTTAAAGGGAAGCAGCCACTCATAAAGTAGTTTGTACCATTACATTGATTCTTCAGGGAAGACTTGGCTTGTGTGACTTAATTTTGGATGTTTTGCAGTGTCTCCGGCAGATGAGAGCTACACTTTCAAGTGTCCCAGTGGGGGTTTGTGTGGTCGCCTGCCAGCCGATTGCATTCAGTGCAATTACCAACACAGCTGCGTTTACGGCAAACCAGCGTCCTTTGCCTGTAAACCCAAGAAAGGCGTTCACTGTATAGTGCGTACCGGTTTTTGTTCTCTAGCTGCTCTGCATTGTACCAAGTGATGAAGCGATGACATCCTCAGTGTTTTGCGGGTTATTTGTTCTTCCCAGGGAGAGTCGGGACAGCAGCAAACCAACTTCTCCCTTTCCATCACCTGCCAGTTCTGCTGGCAGCTGGACCCGTCTCAGTACCGCTGCTCAAACTCCACAAACTGTATGACGGTCTCCTGCCCACGAAAGCGCTACAACGCCACCTGCGACGCCTTAGACCACGTGCATTGTCTAGGTATGGGAATCGATCCACTCACACTGCAGTGCAGACTCCTCACACCAAACAAAGGTGCTCGGTTTTAGCCTAGTCCAGAACAAACTGAGGAAAGATAATTTAATATAGTCTGGGTGTGTTGTTGATTATTGGAGCTTTGAGCACTTTAGAGGACTTGATGGTCTGAGGGGATTCATATGAGAGACTTGTACAGCTCTATTAGCTTGTCCTTGATGCACATGCAAGTAAAAAGGTTTGCAACAGGGTGGATTTCAACACGTACACTGTCCTCTTTCTCCTATTCCGCTGCCATGTGAAAGCAAATGCTGTTAGCTTTTTCAGTCACGCTCACAAAGTAAAGTTAGTGCTTCAGTAATTAATTTAACAGAAATATCAGATTTCTAATTACTGCATGATGAGAGAAGGTGTTTTTTTTTTTTTAAATCCCCAAATGGCTTCTTTCTCTGCCTACACACTCACTGTGATTCTCCTATTGGACGGCAGCGGTTTTTTTCTGGAAAGCCTCCCTTGCAGGTCAGAAGTGAGCAATCTCTATTTGATTGTAGATGCAGCACAGCTGCCACAAATGATGCAGGCAGATCCTGTGCTGGAGTTTTGTGGATTTATAAGGCTTTTTATGTATCAGTCTGCGGTCTCGCTCCCGGGCTTAATTTGGTTTGGCATGGAGCTGAGATACATTTGGAATCTGCACCATTTGTATATTTTCCAATCAGTGGAAGGATGCATTTCCAATTTCTGAAGATTTTTTATTTTTCTCCCTGGGACCTGTGCTCCTTTGAGCTTTCCGTGATTTCAGCACTTAAACAATTGTAGGTTTGGATAAGACAGGTTCCGCCTCTTGATCCCTAAAGAGGCTGTAATCATCTGTACCTTAACTGAACCAATTATTCTAACTCAGTGGCCCAGAGGCTGAGACGAGGTTCTTGGGTGGTAGTTTTGTGTGTCCTGTTTTTGAATGCATCAGTAATCATACACAACGCATTCAAACATTTGGATATTAAAAAGATCATCGAGTTTGTGTTCAATTATATATTTGGTTTCAAATATATAGAAAACTATATCTGCTTTTAGATTTGTATTTTTTTTTTTTTTTAAACCACGTCAAACAAGAACTTTTGTTCTTTAGAATATTTCAGAATTCAACTCGGTGCACTTTACATGTTTTGTCAGTATTAAAAACGGACATCAAGGAAAATCGCCTGCTTTTTCATTTGTGTTTCCGCCACTTTTATAACAAAATCTGCTTTTAATAGCTGCCATTTGTGACCAGTCAGAGCAGACTGGGGCATTAATGAACGAGGCGGTGAAGCACGAAGATGTGAAGGGAAACGTTTTAGGCAGACATAGACAACAGATTCCACATTAATGGACAATATGAGAAAAATAATCTCTTTGAGCAACTGTAGACTTGAAATAAACCTCCTGACCTTTAAATGAGCTAGGCATGAGCTTTCCAAAGGTTTTTCTTCCATTTATCTTTTTGTTTTGTGTCATTTGGGCTTGTTTGATTTTTCTGTTTTTCCATATACATTAGAATCATGTGGTGACCTTTTCCTCTGTAGGTAAGAGGCGGTTTCAGAAACGTTTGTTCTGCAACTGGACTGGTGGATACAAATGGTCAACAGCACTGGCACTCAGGTGAGCTTTATTTGAGTTTCCCCCAACACTTTTTCGCAGTTCGAGTGCGGAGAGGTGAAATGTTTGAGTCGGGATGTGAGCTCACATTCTATCTCTGTCCCTGATTCTTTTTTTTTTTTTTTTTTCCAGCATCACTCTTGGGGGTTTTGGGGCAGATCGGTTCTATCTGGGCCAGTGGAGAGAGGGCCTTGGCAAGCTGTTCAGCTTTGGCGGCCTGGGCATTTGGACTCTGATAGACGTTCTCCTGATAGGGGTCGGCTATGTCGGACCCGCTGACGGTTCTCTGTACATCTGAGGGAAAGCGCCGGAGACATGGCTGGTTCGTGAAGTCTTCCACCCCACACCGCTTCGCCCAGGATTGAAGATCCGAGATGCTGTGTTCTTAACACGTTCGCCTGCCCAAGCTCTCTGCTCAACACGTCCTCATCCCATCTGCTGACAGGCAGGAAGTGTTTTCCTCATCACACCAACGAGGACTCTACCCACACAACCACCAGATCGATCCCAATCATTCTGCGTCCGGCTCCTGTTGCGATTCCGCAGATGGAGCTGTGCAGCAGGACGAGGAGCCAGTGATTAAGTCTATCTGGCTGCTTTGACTTAACTATAGGTTTAGCCGCCTTGCTGATAGACAGCCAGGGTTTCCTGTGGAGCGAGCCTTTTGCTGACATCCTGTCACCTTTGAACACACATTGCTCCCCCTTTATTGCCAGGTAGATGCATCAGTGAGGGTCAAATGGTAACCATGGCTACAGAGCTTTTTATGGGAACAGTACACAAAAGACGAGTTGAAAGGTGGTATTTATGTTCTAAAGCATGAATATGTAGAGGGAAAATGGATTGAGTTTTTTTATTTGTTTAATTGATACAGTTGACAGTATTTCAGCTTTTTTTTTCTCTCTCAGCATTGACTCAGCGCAGCAGCAAGGAGGTTACCCTGAGGGCCAAACACGATTCCAATGCCTGTCCATATGTTACATGAACAAATACGAGCGTCTCTTAGTGAATCGGGAGGATAATCGGTCATTTGCTGCAGCGTGTGGGCTCATTTCTGGAAACACGCACATAACCTGACTGTACGTTTTGTTTGGTCGCGATACTGAAACACTTAAATGTGTTGCACTAGCACACTGCAGCCACCTGTGGTTTCCTCTGCTGGAGATCCTGGAGATATTCTGTGCGCTTTACTGGTTTTTCGTGTTTTTTTTTTGTTGTTTTTATGGGGGGGCGGGGGGTTTGAAGGAATGTACTGTAATATTTTTTTCAATCAAAGCCACCACCTTGTTTCATATGTTTTTTCTGTGTTGGGACTGTATATATTTTGTTGAGTTATGTAAATAAATTAAAAAAATACACTCAACTTTGCACACCCTCTTCATTGCTCAAACATCCTTTCAGAAGAAAAAGAGAGCAAATAGAGCCTGTTTCCCCAACTGAAAATAGGTCACGGGTTGACGTCACATCAACATACAGAACATGGATTTTCCCCAAGGACCACGAGACTGTGCATTCTAATTGAATGCCATTATTCCACCTAACAAGAATTCGGGGCTCTATTATTAGTTGAGGTCATTTTCACCCATGTCTCTCACATTTGTGAGAAGTCTCTCACATTTTACTGGGCGAGTGGTTTGCCCTGGCAGAAGGAAGGGGTTACGAGGGCCTTAAAGGGAAGCAAAGGATCTCACACCGGGCGTAAGTGAACATGTTCTGTGACGGCTGTGGCGGTAAATCAGCACTGACAAGACTTTTACTCTACTCCTGTTTAATAATGCAGACACCTCTGCTTTTTCTGGTTACATCACAGATTTGAAAAAAGAAAAAAAAAACCTTTCTACGAACTCCCGGGTCTGTGTGTGCCGACATCTCCAATCGGCTGCTTTGCAGAGACTGTTGTGAATCGTGCTCCGCCCAAACTCTAGTTCCTCAATTTTGACGCCACCCACTCACAGCCACTCCAGCTCCCACCCACAAACCCATGCAAGTGTGTCACACTCTGAGTTGAGGAGACTTCTGCCTGCGCACACTTTTAACAAATCTACTCTGAAAGGGCCCTTTATCTTAACCAGACCCATAAGAGCAGACGATTTTATTGTGCATCCTCTCAAAGCCAGTTAACAGGCAGGAATCACTGTAATGCTGCCAAACTCACAATGTCATGGCATAGATTAGAATACTGTGCACAACAAAATGCAAAAGTACCAAATGAACTGAGGAGAAATAAAGTAAATGGCTCCATTAAATTCTATTCCACTCCTGGATCAACGCTCTCTACCCAATTACAAATAATAACCAGAATTACTTCTGGGTTTTGCCATTATCCTTTGTAGCAAATGAACGAAACTGCTTTTAAAAGCAAATCACATCGAATTTCACCCTCAGAGATAAAAAGAAAAAGGTTTAATTTTTGCGATACTTTTCCTGGCAAATCACTCTCACATTACTCCCTAAACAGCTGCCAAAGGCACATCCTCTCACGACTTCCTAATTTTGAATTGCTAATCAGCAGGAGGAGAACAAAAAGTTTATTCATCTCCCTCTTATGCAAAATCCCATTTAGTCCCATCACGTCTCCTGAGTTTGGGAGCACGAGCCCCGACCCCGCAGCATCACAGGTCCATTCCTCCCATTATGCCCACTCCTACAGGAGAAGGCGATTAAAGCAAAACCGTAATTAAAAAAAAATAATGATAAACCGCCACCACACAAATTATCCGCTCCAACTGTGCACCACTTCTCACGTCTGAGTGTCGTTAAGGACAGAGTACAAATCACTGTGCCCATACTAAAATAATAGACTTGTATTTTGGTCTATAATAACTCAAAATGAGAACACAATGGGGGTATTATTTTCATATTAATTGGAAAAGGGGAGACAATCAATGCCTGTGTGAAAACAATGCTCCGCAATGTCCAATTTGGAGAACAGGAGCACAACAACACCATTGGTTTTCACCCTTGTTTCTGTTACATAAAATAGCTATTTGGAGCATTCGATGTAAAAGAAAACAAATTTCAATGCATGGAACATGGAGCCATGCCCTGAGTCTAACAGTCCGGTAACAAGTAGAAAGTCTGAAAGAGCAAACTACAAAAGAAATCTGACTGATGATTTGCTTCCCAGCAAGAGGCTGCAGTGGGAGCTAAATTTAGACTTTAGGTCTTCAGCACAACAATGACACCGTCCAAGACTCACCCGATCCAAGCCCTCAAAACCAAATACCTGTGGCAAGACTTTCAAGTTCCAGCTTTGCATAGTGAAGGAAGAGCTGTGAGCATAAGCGGATTGGGGATGGGCTAAAGCGAGAACCACCTACTGCTGCTCCAGATGGGTAAACCTTCGTCACCAAAGGGAATTTGAGGCACTTCACGTCTTTTAAGCCGTTCGCTTTAATCAGCGAGCTTCTAAAAAGTGCACAAAGGGGCCCCAGTTTGCACAGCGATGCGTCGTGTTAGAGCAAAAAGAAGTCAAGCCCGTTGCAATTTCAGTGATTTATTTGTACAATTGGAATCTCAATGTACAAATTCCCCTGCTCAGATGTATAGGCAAGAACACAAGAGCAACCGTTCTGCCCGAGCTGAACATCCCTCAAACTTCACTGTGAGCTTAGACTAGTGAAAATGAGGAAAAGAAAAAAAAAAAAAGATAAAAAAAAATAAATAAAGCAGGTACCTGCCAAATGAAACCAGGGCTACGGAGGACCCCTCACTAAAGGGTCAAAGCACAAAATCAAAATTACGTTTAAAAGGAAAAATAAAACAAAATACTGAACAAACCAAATGTTATGTCCAATCTGTATGGCAGTAGGGCGATTATGGCCTCCATTTAAGTAGCATGTTAAAATGGATTTCAAGTTGGACACGTACACAAAAGGCATATGGTGACATCGCTATCAAGTCCTTATGCCCATGCCACTTATACACCATCCACAGACAATGTTGCAAGCTTTTACACAGGAGACAGGACAAAGATTTAAAAAAAAAAAAAAAAAGGAACAAAAAAACAGGAAAAAAAAAGAGAACAGGAATTCCTTTTTCCAGCTCGCCAAGTAGAACAAGTTTAGTGTAAATGGCATTGTGGTCCATTTCAAAAAGTGTATGTACTTCTCTCCTGGCCATTTACATTTCACTCATAATTTCCCATTGGTAATTCCCTAATGTTACCATGGTAACTCAAAATGTTGTATAAAAATATAACAAAGACTGAAAACCGATGCACTCAACCAAAATATATCTACACAGTCTCAAGTGTTTGCGGGGGGGGGGGGGGGGGGTATGGGGTGGCTTAGCAACGTGGCCAAAAACTGCTTTTTTTTGCTTCCGCACAAAAATCGGGCCACGGGGTCAAGTCTGGGTGGCCGCCGTCTTTCCCCGCTCGGCCGCGCTGACCGAGTGGAAGCCGCGGGTTCCGTCGGGCCCGCGGGGCAGCCTGGTCACCCCCGGCGGCAGCCCGTCGGCGTTCTGGATCTTCCTGCCCAGCATGGGGCTGCCCACGGGGCTGCTCTCCTGAGACGCCACCTGCTTCCGGCGCTGGACCCACGGGCTGCCCGAGGGGGTCAGGCTGCTGTCCGACGAGTAGTCGGCCCAGCGGCGGCCGGACTCCGGGCTCAGCCGGCCCTCGCTGGCCAGGGGGGACTTGTGGGAGGACTTGCGCTGGGCGCAGGGGCTGGACCAGGGGCTGTTCCTGGGGGACATGCCGGGGCTCAGGTGATTGTTCTGGAAGCTGAGGCTGGCCGCCGTGGTGGGGCTCAGCTTGTTGCAGGACTGCGACTTCCTGGCCAGCCGGGGGGACGTGGGGTTGCTCTCCGTGTCCGAGGAGCTGCAGGCCGAGTCGTCGGCGTGGTACTGCAGCTCCCGCACGCGGCTGTTGAGGGAGCGGCTCTTGCGCATGCCGCCCTCCTCGCGGGGGGGCCGCTCCTTGGGCACCTTCTTCTTGGGCGGCTTGGTTCCGATCAGGACCACCCTCAGGCCCAGGGGGCCGCCGCCGCCGCCGTCCTCGCCGCCCACCTCCTCGTTGGCCTTGACGGCCGCCTCCACCTCCTCGAACTCCACGATGGCGCACTCCTCGGCGCCCAGCTGCGAGTAGCGCCCGCTCAGCCGCTTCAGGTCGGCCGGCAGGTCCTTGCCGGGCTTCAGCACGCGCACCGAGGCGATGGCGCCGTAGGTGCCGAAGGCCTTCAGCAGCAGCTTCATCAGCTGCTCCTGCTGCGCGGGGCCGCCCTCCTGGCCGCCGCCCTCCTCGTCGGCCAGCGCGGCCAGCTCGGGCCACTTGTGCAGGTCGCTGAGCAGCAGCATGCGGCTGGGCAGCGACTCGCTGGCGAACACCGGCACGGCCGACCGGCGCCGCACCTTGCGGCCCTCGTCGTTCAGCTCCAGGATCTTGGAGTGCTTCAGGGCGTAGGCGGTGGTCCTCCAGTCGCGGGTCAGGTGCTTCACCTGCAACGAGACGCGGCCCCGCGTTACTACGGCGACTAAGAAAACCAGGCCTCGACCACAGACTGTTAAAGCAGTTCCCACCTCGGGCTCATGGCGCTTCCCTCGGACAGATTTGTTTCGCTGCGGCGCAAAACAGATGAAAACAACAATCGCGAGCCAACGAATCTGAAAACGCGCGAGCACGAAGTAGCACCTGCTGCTGTGAATCAGCGCGAGAAACATCCCCACAACAGCAACAGCTACTCGCGCCGACACAACATTATTCCCATCTCACCAACCTCCGTGCCACAGGAAACGTCGGCCATTCATAACAGGTCAGATGAACTGCCCAGGACCGTCGAAACGTACGATTATCAGCCTACACAATCAGCCCTCTGGGGAGAAGTCAGCATGTGGCATGTACACTATATTTTGGGCTAATTATAGCAGAGGCCTTGGGCACTTTGCCTCCGGAGGTCAGCTGACCTGTCCGCGGACCGTACACCTCACGGTTACCTTTTTGAAGGAGGTGAGCAGCTTGACGCTGACGAAGCCCAGCTTGTTGCGGCGGACGTGCTTGAGCAGGAAGGCGTCGTGCTCCAGGTTCTCGTCCGACAGGTAGTACTCGATCTGAGAGACCAGCTTCTGGATGAGATCGGGATCCGGGGGCTGCCAGCTCTCCTCCTCCAACTCTCCCCCGCTGGTGCCCGCACCGCTGCGTGGGAAGAAAAACACGGATCGCGGTCAGCAGAGACTTCTCTAGTAGATGGAAAAATGATTAAATAAAGTGAAAGAGGCCGAATGTTTGATATTCAACATTAGAACAGTTGCACATTTTGCTTTCGTCAAGACAATAAGCCAGGGGGCTTACAAATAGTTGGCAGAGAAACCTCACCGTGACATTTCTCAAAGCACTGCGATTGACCTGCTTGTCCCCCCCCCCCCCCCCCCCCTCTTCCTCCTCTTTTTCAGATTCTGCTAGCAGCCATCAACAGGCTGGGTGTGTAGCCAAAGTCACTTTTGTCTCGGTGCCAGGCCTCGTGTCCAACTCGTCCCGAAACTGCCAAGACCTGTCCATCTGAAGGGCACAGATTCTCCCTCCCACAAAGAATATGGTGGCCGGCTACAACTTCACACAATGAATTAAGAAAATATATACACAGACACACAACTACTAAATCAACATGCAGGACCGAGCTGATGGAAACGCAGCAGACTCTTGCAGCGCCCTCAGTTCAGGTAGCTTTGCAGATAAGAGTGCGGGTCTGAGGGAAATTTTTGTGGATGACTCATCACCTCCTCCCTCGCACACCCTCAGTCAACAGCTTTCCAGCCCGCTGACCACACAGCTGGCAGGAGCGCACCCAGGAGGTCTGACAGATAGACACACCGACGGGCCATTCCTCACGCGCGAGGAAAGTTTAGACAACGACGTTACTTCAGAAATAAAAGAAATAAAAGAAGGCCTCATCCCAACCCCACACAAACCAAGAAAATATGACACTTTAAATAATAGCCATAAAACATTTCTAGTGCCACTGGCACTCCAGGAGCGCTTCCTACAAATGTAGTAGCCTTTAAAATACGTGATCCGACTACCACAGACGCTCTTTGTGCCCTTCAGTTGTTACCCACTTGGAATAATAGTAATAAAAAAAAAGACGCTCAGCATGAGGAGAGATTTATGTCCCCTTTAGCCTTTCTATCACTGACTCACTCCGCGCTCGCGTACTCCGACAAGGGACATTATAGGCCAGAGGATAAAAATAGCCTGCCATGACGCAGGGGAATTGGATTAAGAAGAGGGTGCCGTCCTCAGCGCGTCTCAGGTGTCTGCTTTTTCTACAGTTCTGACGCTGCGCACAGGTGGTTACACGCATCACACCCAAACCACGATGGTGATAATAATAACCACCCCGCGTGTCTGTGTGTGCGCGTGGAGTTTCCGGCGTTGTTTGAGAGTCCTTTGCAATCCCCCTCTGGCGGGGGCTACACCTGTCGGAATGTTGGCTTCCCTCTCCCGGGCCTTTTGGGACGGGCGGGACGCAGCGTCATGGCAAAACCGTGCCAGCGCGCGGCCACTTGACCACCGGATCACCGCCTTAATGAGCGCGTTCTGAGGAGGAGTGGGCTGAAAGCTATCACAATGAGGAGGACGTTTGTGTCACCCCGCTGCTCCCACTAACGTGGGTTTTTTTTTAAGTAGGAGGGCCCACAAGGGAAAAAATACAAAAAGAAAAACAAAAAAAAGTTAGTGCAGATTAAATTCCTTTATACAGATATGTCACGGACACGGCCTGTGGCTGTTGATAGAGGGGTCAGCCCGTAGCTATACCTTGATTTGTCGTGTCTCCCCGCGTCGTCTTCGCTGCAGCTGCCGGCCAGGAAGTCCATGTTGTTGGAGGACACCTCCTCCGGATCCTCGTCCTCCGCCGCCTGGATGGCCACGGTGATGGTCACCGTGCCCATCTCCTGCGAGTGCTGGTCCACCGTGATGACTTCATCCACGCCCGGCTCCGCTGACGCATCGAAGGCGCACTCCGCCGGGTTCAGGTGGGGGAGGTCTTCGGACGCACTCATGGTCCTCGAGCAGGTCCAGGCGGCTCCACCTGGTCCCTTCCAGCCCTCGGTAGCAGCAGCAGCAGCAGAAGCAGCAGAACCGCCCTGGAAGCTTTTAGCCTGGCTCGGCTCTAAGGCGCGGACAGGATACGGGGTGCGCAAAGCGGCTTGACGCTTCTCCGGGCTCCAGCGATGGCGGAGGAAGACCCAGGGGGCTCCGAAGACGCGCTCCGCGGCTCGCCAGAGACCCCCGATCCAGATCCGACCCGGGGGAGGAGGAGGAGGAGGAGGAGGAGGAGGAGGAGGGTCCCGGGGGGGGGCGGCAGCCTGCGAGACACGGCCGGGAGCAGGCGAGAGCGTCGGGCTGGAGCCTCCGTGTGCCTCTCCCGCTGCTGCCGCCGCCACCGCTACTGCGGCCACTTCCTCATATGCAAGAGGCTTTCTGCTTTTGAAACGAGCTCTGGGATTGGGCCGATTCGGCCGCGTCTCCTCGCACTCATTCCCAACCCACAGGCAAAAGCTGACACAAAGCCAAGAAGGAGGCAAGAGGAAGGAGAGGCAGCGCGTGAAGGCGTTCACCAAAGCGTGCATGTTTTTTTTGTTGTTTTTTTTGGTTCCTCACACAGATTTTTTTTTTTCCCCCTATTTTTTTTCTTTTTACACACACATACACACATACACACACGGGGTGTTGTCTGTTTCTGCGAAGACACGAATGACCCACTTGCTGGTGTCTAAGTAGGGGAGCAAATTGCACGTGTTCTTTTCTAATTGGGAAACTGCCGTGCCAAGGACGACCCCCCGGCTAACGCCTCTAATTGGATAATAGGCTTTCAGCTCCTGGTAGTAGGCAGGAGCAGGGCTACGCGTGTGCCAAAAACAGGGAAACGCAACTCACCTGAAACCCCTGTGTCTATTGTTGCTCACCAGAGGTTAGAGAACATTTACATAGTTTAAAAAAACAAACAAACATATATCAGAATTCTACTTTTCGAAGGCGTGTTCAGATGATGAACCGGGTTTTTATGGTTTGGATGTGAAAAGTCCTGACAGCCACGAATCTCTCACCCCAAACAACTTTTTAAAAAAAGCCAATAACTCCTTTTACCCCATTTTTTAAAACTTGAAATTGTGTTTACTTTTGTATTGATTTTTTAAAAACTCTCTTAGTTTAGTATTAGTCCCTTTGGACAATACCAATACAAAAGGTTATTTACTCAGCTCGCTCATAGGTGAGGTCAAGGCCCAGCTCCCTTTGAGCCTGCCCTTGGCCGAGATAAAGAGGCCCAGTGGAAACATGGCGAACCGTGTTTTTCTGAGAGCCCATATCTTTAATCGCCGAGTTTGTTCATGTTTGCCTCAATTACGCAGATTATACTTCGAGTCCATTTTGGCAGCCTGGCACTGGCGTCCGTCCCATATCCCTGTACATCACCCACACTGATGTTGTTGGTCGTTGCCAGCCCTGCGTGAAACGTCTTTACTCCCCCCCCCCCTGTTGCAAAGCCAGGCTCACAGCTGGTGGGCAGTCTGACTCATTTTCTGCACCACATGCCATACAGTGTTTCGCTTGGCGCTCGACGCAACATGGGGAGAAAGTGAGAGGGAAAGGAAGGCGACTGTGTAAGGCACTGCCAGCTAATAATCTGACGGCTTTCAGTAGCTTATTGCAGACTTATCCTCTCAAACCACGCGACAGACTGCCAGTCGGTGTAAAGACTCTTCTAGAGTCACTTCTCCTGTCTTGTTCTGTTTCGATGGATAGGTTTTTTTTTGATAAAGAGAAAAAAAAAAGCAAATCTGCATAAACAATGACGATTGTTGCGAAACTTTGAAAGTGAAGTCGGGCCACGCTGTCACCACATCAGGATTCTGTGCACGAGCCTGCAGGCCACTTCCTCTTATCGGCTATTGTCTGTTCTTCTCTCCACTGCGTTTTACAGAAGTTCGACATAAAAACAAGAGCATGTACTGAAAGGCGAGTTTCCAACTGGTACATCCGCCCTTGTAAATGTGACCACTGTGGGTCACCAGAAATGAAAGCACAGGATGATGCAACACAGTTCAACTCCGAAAAACAAGCAGAAATTGCATCATGAAGTCAGCATGTATGCTGCAAAGCTGTTGTATTAGACTGGACTTTAGTTTGTTGACTGTTTTCAAAATGCTTTACTGGATCTACCGTATTTCCCAGAATTTGTTCCACTCATGCACTTTGCATTTAAAACACCGTCAAATTGAGAGGACAGCTTTTAAAGAAAACAATAACCTCTTTTATGGGTTATTTTTCACATTCTTTCCCCCCTTTTTGCACCCTGTTCACTGTCTTATGTAGACAGGTGGCCATTTAGAATCATACTTTCACACTGCAAGTGAAATCAGTGTATATGAGTAAACTTTCAGTCTGAATCCGGCAGTATGTGACCTCATAATCTTTAACTCAAATGGAATAACATGGTTTCCACTGGATGATTTGGGTGACCGATTACTTTAGAGAGTCTACCCGAAAACTATTTCAGCCAATGTTCTAAAAGTGGATTATACCAAAAAGGTTCCAGGTTCAAATCTGAACTAGGGTCTTCCTCAGTGGAGTTTTCATGGCGTCCTTTTGTGCGTTTTCTCCATGTACTCATGGCGATCTCCCACAGTCCAAAAACATGCACATTAGATCAATTGCTGACTCTTGATTGAGTTTACAATTTCAGGATTCTTCAAAATGTCAGAATTTCCCGTCTGCTCCACTCATTTAGATATGTCATATGCAAGATGTTGTTTGACGATCCTTATCTGTTATCTTAAAGTCCTGATTTAGGGTTTCAAACCGTTCAGATTCAGTCGTCTGACGTATGACGTGGCATCTTGAAAGACTGCCACAATGCAGAAAACTGGTTTGGCAAGTTAAAATCCAAACCAGCACCTTTAATATTCTAAGGGGGAATGTATATTTTAAACTGGGTCAAAAATTACTTCAAATAATGAGCTAAAAAGAGTACATTTAATTTCAATCTGACAGCCAAACAGCACAGAAATTAATTGAAAGTATTTGGAATACATTTGGTTAAATACAACCTCCCTTAGGCTTAACTTGTCATTTCACTGCTTTGTTATTTTCCCCCATAAAAGTCCATGACTAATAGTGTTAAGTGAGCTGTTGTTCTGTGTGACCATATGGTCGGCGTAAAGTGAGTTATCATGTTATTGTTAAAATCCAACTCAAAGCCCTGGAGTTCATCTCCAGCGCCACCAGCGGAGGTTTACACGCCGGGGATGACTCAGTAAAACCATCGAGGCCTCGTCAATGACTTCACATCTGGTTCCGTTTGACATTCTAATTGTAGATTTAGGTTGTTCCCTGTTTTTTCTTAATGTCCTAATTGCTGTTGTAAGCATGAGGAAAAGATTCTTAGGACGTAGAAACAAATAAACAAGTCTGACTATTGTGAGGTAACACTTGCAGTCAGAGATGAGACAGCATGGATCTAACAAGTGGTTGGAATAGACTGACTGTTGAGTGTGGAGTTGCAAAATGTAGGCGTTTTTTTTTTCTCTTTGAGTTAGTGGGAGCTTCATTTAAACTGCGTAGAAAAACTATATGGCAAACAGGGTAGGAGCAATAAATCAGAGAGGAAAAAAAGAAAATAATGTACCTATAATAAAATCTAGATGCTGCTTTGAAATTATAGGCTTCAGAGATGAGCTTGTGAGTTTAAGTGGTGTCAGCACTTCTTACACTGATAGATAAAATTAACTGGGTTAACAGCAGCAACTACAACACCTTTCTTTTTTACCACGTTGATCTCAAATGATCTGAAAACGTGTGATTAGCTGACCTCAGTCTTCTATCTAAAGTATAACTATATAAGTATCCCCCCTGTATGCTTTTGAAAAAAGGCTATTTACAGCCCTTAAACCTAGTAATTAAATATCCAATCTATTCTTTAACAGAGGGAATAGAACAAGCCAGCACAGTGAGACTGACACCAGGTTTACATGATGAAAGATTGCATCTCTGGGGAGCAAACGAGAGTGGACGAGATTGAAATATAAAGACTGAACAAGCTTCATGCTTTTGCATTATGATATCTATAAGTTCTAATGTGGTATCCTGTGTCCTCCCAGCTTTCTCTCCAGAACAGACTTTGCCAACTGTTGACCATATCTCGTATCCTGCGTTTGAAGAAATCAACAATCGTTTCTTGTCTTTGAGACATTGGGTTTTGAATAAATGAATAAATAACCGAAGCTTGAAAATTATTAACCCAAAGCTGTCAAGTGATTTCTTTCTCTAAGAGTGTGACACGGCATAAATCTTTTCAGCTCCTGTGGGGAAACAAAACGCGTCATGATTGACAAGAAAAAAACGCAGCTCACTACCCCCTCCCAGTGTTTTCAACATTTACAAAGGCACCACACAGATTTGTTCATTTCCTGGGGCTTTAGCAGAACCCTTAACCGTTTCCGTAAATCCAGCAAAACTTGACCTCATACCTGGACCATTTCATTTTGCACTGTTTAAGTGTGTCTGTGGCCACATAGCATGAATAATACAGGCAGACTCACACTGAGCCGACAAACGTTTCAGCACTTTAACCTGTCACATTTTAAAAAACAGTTTACTTAGGAATATGTTTCAAAATAATGCCCATGTTTCTACATCTACATTACCTCAATCAGACCAGGCAGGGACCCTGCTGGCCTTGTGCCAACAAATTACTACTGCCGCTGTTAGAGCTTATTTGTATTTACAGTCCAAAGATGAAAAACGGTCCTTGTGTGTGTATTTTTTCTCAGCAACAATATGTGTAACAGTTGGTGTAAAAATAGGTTTCATGACACTGCCTGGCCCCGCAATACTACACGGCCCCACAGATAAAACGGTAAAGACTATGATCATAAAAAGCTATATCTAATTTTTAAGGGGCCACAAATGAAACATAACACAATCAAATTGCACCAACTTTTGGATCAGCAACCTTTATTATCGCAATAGCTCTTTTTGGCAAGAGAAATGCAAACAAATGCATACATATCTGTATAAATTGGCTGGAATTTACATTCCACTTTATTACCATGCCCTGTCACTCAGACTGTTGATGATCACCTCCCATCATATGTGTCAGCCTCTGCTTCATGAATAGACTGTGACAGGCAGTGTGTGGGATGTCCCTTTGATGGATCTGCACTTGTCTTTTCTCAGCAACTGCTTATTAGTGCCAGGGTAAAAGAAAAAAAAACACACTGGGAATACACTGCACAATTCATCAGATTAAAATTTAGTTCTCTGAAGGGCGGCAGCCCGATTATCACCTGGGTTACAGAGTCTCTAGAGAGGAGAAAAGGCACCAAAAAAAGTGTGGAAAAGGACCTGATCTAAAATATGTCAATATTCCAAAGGGGTATTTAATCTAGTGTGGAGTCACTGATAAATATTCAGATTAAAGGCCACAGCATGATTGACTGAAGCTGATATCCAAATGTTACAAAGTGCTCAGTGTGCACTTTAAGTTACAGTGTACAGGAGGCTTCTATTTTAGATGAATCAGCATTTTGAGAAGTTCCAGGAGTGTAAAGGAGCGTAAATGACTCACTGTTGTGGCTTGATGTCAGACCCGAGTAAACCAGAGTTGTCATTACCTGTGCTTGTCCCTGCACTGTCAGAATGTCCAGGCTCATTATTATACCAATTTCCACAGCAAAACATAATTTTTTAATCACCCATACAGAACACCGTATGCTCCTCAAGAAGTGTGCCAGTTAACAAACCATCTGATAATCTTAAATCCCAAACTCTGTTTGGGATTTAAGATTATCAGATGGTTTGTTAACTCTATTATGAGGATGTTTGTGGCAACTTTTTGTAACTTGTTTGATTAGCTTTTATATCCTGGAATAGTCGTATTTCTGCTTCCGTTGGGTTAGAATGTCAGTTATATGTTTTGTTTTCCTAAAATAGGGACATTTCGGAGGGGCGTGTCTGATTGGTTGAAATCTACCTTGGGCCAGTTTAACTGCGAATGATCCTCTGTGTGGAGGAAAATGCTAATAAGACTTAGTGATTTGTCAGCATAGTACCGACAATGACCTTTCGGCACCTTCTCACCCTGCTTACCTGACAGTTGTATAGATAGAATCAAAGACGTATATAGATCTAGATATTTGTCTATGGATAAAATGTCACATTCGTCTTGTTTGTTGATGCAGTCTTGCTCTACCTCTTAATATCGTAGGGTGGGTCGAATTCAAACTAGAACTGCCACCTAGCGGCAAAATATGTAATAACATCCAAACAATACCAACAATAAAAAATTAAAAGTGTATGCTATTAATTTATGGACGGTAGAAACCAAAACAACAATATCCATAGTCAAACTCTTAATAACTTATAACCTCTACAACTTGAAACAACAATAACTTAAATAACTAAACAAAACCCACCAAAAAACGAAATATCTGTGCAGCTTGTTTCCCCACGGAGTGCTTTTAAGTGACACAGGAAGCCTGTGTAGCCATGCAACGCCGTCGTTGCTATAGCAATTACGCTTACCCTTCCCGAGGAAGTTTGTAGCTCTTAAAAAAGGGATGCAATTCGACTTAAACGAGCTGTAAATCGAAGCTATAGTTTAACTGTTGCGGTTTAGTACTTATTTTTGATATGGTCATGATATATCTGATCACAAAAGGAGATTAAAAAAACTTTTTCTTACTTGTTAACTTTAATATACCGGTACGCTAACGAAATGGATTCGGAGCACTATGAAGGTGAAAGCATGGGCTCAAATAAACAACACAGCAGTCTGAGCCATACATGGGACTTTCTCGCCCCCATGGTAAATTCCAATTTAATGCCTTTACCAGGTTTGAAAAAAGCTATAGAACGGCGTGAGCTAAGTGTAGCAGCTGAGACTGTGCAAATATCACATCCATGTTGGTACTTACTCGAGCATAATTTATAACTTTTCCTCAGATCAACAGCTGTAAATTGCACCTTAACACAGTGAGATCAGTCGTGCCAGGGAGAGAGCTTGATATGGTGAGTCCTTTCAAAAATCCAGTGGAAGAAAAGGTGTTAAACGTCTAGTGAGCATGTATGGGCACCTCTAAAAGTGCTGAACTTCTCATAACTTCACAGATAAATGCAGGAAACGAAATGAATGACAGCAATACATGGCTCTCTCTTGTCTAGATAAACAAAAAATAAATAAATAAAGACATCAAATAAGAGAAGATGACTTTACCATCATTGAATGGTAATGTCCAACAGGACAAACCCTGCTTCTTACAATATAAAATGGAGGAGGTTTTACTGTTTAGCTGCCTAAAAGGTAATAGATTTGTTTTTAGTAATGATCTTAAATCTTTTTGCCCCTGGCATCAAGAATATTAGTCAAAACTGTAACCAGGGCTTATCTGTTAAGGCTGGTAAATGTATTTCTGACATTCATGTCTGATGTGTAGATTTGTGATTTACTTCTGCACTTAATATACTCACTGGTTATAGATTGACTCCCGAGATTTTATGAAGACCACCCAAACAGAGAATCCTTCTAACCCAGGTATGCCTAACCCACTCCATCTCTCACCTGCCAGTCGCTCTCTGTGATTATGAAGAATCTCATGTTGTGTTTGCATAGCTTACTCCTTTTTTAACACCTTATCTGTAGAAAGCAGGTTACGTGTGTGCAGTCGGAGCAGAGTTGCCAGTGACAACCGTTCAGATTTTCCAGCAGACAGTGCAATCCTACTGGCAGGTGGTGCTCCAGTTTCACAAGCTGCAAGTATAACGGGAGACAAACCAACGAGACCAACTGCCAGTGCCGGGGCGTCCTACCGTCATGTTACCTTGAAAATTCCTAAAAATGGTAATATTAATATAATTGAACAGACAAAAGAGATTTTCTGGTGCACTAATATACCGGTACTTAAGTAGGTTCCTGTGTCAATCCCTCGTTCAGGTTGTATTCTCTGTGTTAGGTGGTTCTGCTGGATATAATAGCAGTGCTGCAGCTGGCTCCCCCTTCACTCGTCTGCCCCATCCTTCCACTTTTCAGCGTATAGACTTGGACAGGTATCCTTTGTTTTTTCTTTTTCATTCTCCAACAGATTTGAAACAAATCCCAGTTTGCAATTCCTGTGTCTTTGCCATCAGTTTCTTTCATGTTCTTCTTCCATCCCCATCCTTACTGAATTTCATAAGCACGGCCTGACCTGCTTTATTTGCTGTCAATTAAAAAGACAAATATTCCAAATTTCCACCAGGGAGCAGCAGAGTCTGTCTGAATGCACAGCTTTTGTGTGAAGTGATCGATTATTCTCGCAAAGAATTAATCTGCTCAGTGTGTACTTAGCAGAACTCATTCAGTCAACATGCTAAATCAGTCATTTGAATGTTTAAAATGAAGTGGGAGTTAAACTGAATTCTTAGTTCTTGAGAATTAGAAGCTAATGCATAAATCTGTATGAAACCTTTCTAAACGTCTTTTTCAATTATCCAGGCGGTCTCTGAAGGAATTCCCCCAGCTGGGTGTCATTAAAGAGCTGCAGTTTCTGAACCTCCAGCACAATCTGATCACCAGGATCCAGCACCTATCACAACTGCAGCAGCTCACCCTGTTGAACCTGCACGAGAACCACATCTCTGACATGACCGGCCTTGATTCTCTGAGGTCCCTTAAGATTCTCATGCTGGGGAAGAACAGGTTTGTCATCACAACTGGAGTCACACGCCATCAAATATTACTTAACCCAAGATTTCTTTTGCTGTACTTAATTGATAATACTGCAGATTTGATGTATATGCTAACTGAAAAATGTTTCAGTTCGGTTTCTGGTTGATCTCAGTCTACATCTCTTCAGCACGTTTCATCAGCTTGAACTTGCTACTTTATAAGCCTCACAATTCTTTGCTTTCAGCCCGACGTTATTAAAAAAATCCCCTCATCACAGAGCGATTCTTCCTTCAAAAGGTCAGGAGGAGGAAGATTAATGTCACAACTTTGTGGATGACATTAAGATCTAACAGCTGAACTTTATTGGTTCCATCTTCTGTGAAGCATGACATTTGGCGTTTTAAACCTACTGTATGAGCGAGGTCAGGTATAGGTACTGTAAAGTGTTGAAATACCTTTCATTCACTTTTATCCAGAACCAGAACAGGATCCAAATATATCTGGTCCCGAGTAAGACACTTTTCTGTGTATCTTTTGCTGCTGTTCAATAGCTTTAAAAATATCTCATGTTTTGTTTTAGCTCTCCTGCAGTATTAGTTGATGTGATTAATTTGGCTGATTACAATATATTTTTTTTACAGTCTGCATCCACAAGTTTAATTGTACCCGCCTAATCAGCTGGCCGCAAACAGATTCATTCAGACACGTACAAAATTATCCTCAGATTTAATTACATTGTTGTAATTTCCCTTTTGTGTCAACTCTTTGGGATCGTTTTCAGAATCCAGAAAATTTGCTGCCTGGAAAACCTGTCCAAGCTGAACATCCTGGACCTGCATGGCAATCAGGTACTCTCGCTTCACTGTCCTTTTTCTGACTGTGTGTGTATGTGCAAATCAGTCAAATTCAGCAGGGGTTGGCTAAAGCCATGTGAGATGCAGCTTTAACCCATTAATGCCATATGTATCATATTTGATACAAATGGTTTCTGAAATATTTAGCATCTGAGACATTTATTGGTAAAAACTTTGCCAAAAACCCTGTTGTACAAAATCTGATTAGAGCAGGCAGAAGACTACACTAATGCACTGCACTAATTTTGACTTATTTTAAGGTAATAAATTATGAATATTTAAAATGAGTTCTGTATATATATGTTTTGTATTTTGTTAAAGGGCCAAATAAAACAGAAACAAAAAATCTAAAAAAATGTTTAAAAATGTTGTAGCGGGCTTTCAAGGGTTAAAAATGCTGGAGTCAGGCAGAGTTGACATACTGTTGTAACCCTGTAACATGGGTGTCTTACCTACCAACTGATCCATATTCAGGGCAGACAGTGCAGCTCAACTTTAACAATATTTGCATTTTCACAAAGAAAAAGAAGATTATTATTTATAATGTAAACCCTTCTGAATTGCATTCTAATTGAAAAAAACATTTGGCATTCCTTTTTTAAGCATAAAAAATTATTTTTTAACAGGACTATTGTTTGAGGTATTTGTCTTTGTTAACAGTGGTAGTAGAAAGCAAACCGTTAGACCATCAGAATTCACAGGATTCTGTTTCAGGTCCACTCCTACGTTCATTTTCTCAGTGAATCTGGCATAATTTATTCTGCAGGCATGACTTTTCCCATGTTTTCAGCATGGGGAATGGCTTTGAACCACCACATGTTAGAGTCTTTCTACTATTAATTCAAGCCTCTGCCTATTATAAGTTACTGTTTGTTCGGCCTCCACAATGGAGCCCGGCTCACAGGCATTAAAAGCCCGAGAAATTAAATGATTTCAGATGAGAATTTCAACAGCTCCTGGAAAAAGGAGATAGAGCGGAAAGGCTTCCCTTGGTCAAATTAGCATTTTGCCAGTTCGCCGCCCACACTCCTCCACAGAGAGCTACTCCAGAGCTCTGGTAAGACTTCCTCCCTGTCTGGTGTTGGCTGCTCTTTACATGAGCAGGCTCCCAATTACTGCTCAATGACTGCTAGAGTGTTGTATTATTTCTTTCTGACAGAGGACGCTTTGTTGTCTCAGGCCCTGCCGACTTGTGTGCCCTAATTAGATCTTGGTGGTGCGTTTTAGCAGTTGTTTTAAAGGTGATATTGAACAGGCAAATTCTAGCCTTAATGAATGTTTTGTTTAGTTCCCGTTAGCAATAAGAGCACCTTACACTGGGACTCGTCATTGAGCAGATGAAAAATGTATTGCTCTCAGCAGACCAGGTGTCCTTTTAGTCACAGACTTCAAATCCTCCTGTTTTGTGCATTCAAATTGCTTCTCGTCACCGCCGGGAGCTGAATTGCTGATACAGGTGTATGAATCGGCTCATGAATCATGAGCTGTTATGCAGTGCTCTCTCCATCTGTGGGGATGCTTTGAACCTGGATCTGTGTATCCCTGTCATCTTCCCTTCCTCCTGCTTCTTATTGACCCATTTGTTGTTAGAGCTAAATGTGCTTTTTATTTTTTTTATTTTTTTTTTTCTCAAAAGCCCTTGCTCTCTTTGGGAGCCCACTTTCGAGCCACACTCAGCCTCTCTATACAAATCTTAGGGTCACTATGTAATCCGACATTGTTGAGAAACCGGTGCTTGAGCCAGGCTCTGATGTTTTCCACTTGAGCGATCTGACTCAGATGCTCTAAGGAAATAATGAAGAGTGCCTTGCGGCTTCTGTGAGCTGATGGCATTATGAAATGGGATCACACAGTGAGAAAAGTTGGCAGAACTCATGTCTACCCGCTGAATATCACAGAATGATGATGCTTATTAAGTCAGACGGGGTGTGTCATGTTTGATCCTGGCATAGCTCTCTGGGAAGGGCCAAAGTTCAGGAAAGGCCTCCTCTTTGACTGATGATACTGTACAGCCTCTGTCCTTTCCTATATATTGTTTAAAACGTGCCAAGAGTTGATGTGTCCACGCCATCATTCTTCCACGCTTCTGTTCTGTCTGGTGCAGGAAAAAGAGAGACTCATACTTATAGTCATATAGACATATTCCAGTCCACCATACCTCAATGATAAAAATAAGAAAAACATCATGGTGGAGCTTACAAAATTCTCTAATATTTTAGAAGAAGGTTGTCCTCTCCCAACCGTGCTCCATTCTCCCATCAGTTTGTGTTCTTTTAACTTTTTCTAACAGTCGCAGTAAGTTCATCATCAGGTAAGATTACCCCACGAGTTTTATTTATTTTTGCACAGTCTTTGTGTTCCACACATTGTCTAAACGCTTTGACGGTTCCTACTCCTTTAAGAAACTGCTAATAGTAACAGCTAACATATAAGACTTTATGCTTTAATTGTGCCCTGCCCTTAGTGCATTTAACCATGTCCAAAAAGTCTCTTCAAATACATTTATTACCACATTTTAGCACATTATGTAAAATCCAGACTGTCATTCTACGTTTGGCTGTCCAAAGTTCTTAGATTTTAGTCTTTGTGAAAACATTTTCAAATGAGTGACCAATAATGAAAAAAAAAAAAAAAACCTGTGTTTGTATCTTCCAGTTCCAGCACTGGTCTGCACCTCAGCAGAGTGCTGATAAAGAAAAGTATGACAGTATTAAGCCTCACTCCTCTTCTTGGATGGTTTAGTTTGCAGGATGGAGCATAAAACGACCATGTGAACGGTCTAAAGATGAATAACTGATACAAAAACCAAAGCAATTTCTTAACTTTTTGGGATCTTTGTTTGGCATTTGTTGAGGAGGCTGCAGCAGACTTAAGACTTTTTGTTTTGAACAAATCGCTGAACTCTCTTTGCCCCTTTAAGTTGTTCTTCATATGGACGTGTGCACTGAAGGGAGCAAACATCTCATAGTAACAGCCACTGGGTATTACACTCAAGTATTTAAAATGTCATGGGTGCTCCTAAATATTCCCTCCCAGACACAGAGGTGGAGAACAGAGCATAAGATTTCACCATTGACCGTCCCATGGCTACATGTTTGTTTTCATAATTTGGAGGTTCAAACAGGAGTCACGACTTGATGAACAGTTACTGGCTCAAAATAAGTTATTTGAAACGCTCAATACAGTGGTGCAAATAGTTACCGTGATATAATTGACGCCCCGGTTACAGGGGAGATATGAAACTGGCAATGGCCATTTCTCTTCTGAGACGCCTAACAGGAAAAAGAAAACGGAGTGCACCACTTTTTTTGGCGCCCTTGCATCCACAAAATAATTCTTTGTCCGAAGTCTTAAGTGATTCTTAATAGCTTCGAGCCATCTGGTGATCATTAGATGTTCCGCTTGAGTGGAAGAGTGACCTCTGAATGTGCGTGGTTCATCCAGGCTCCCTCTTCGCTTCTCTATATGTGCTACAATATTCCAAAAAGGTTTGAGAGATGCTCCTCTTTAGGTTAAAAGTATGAGCTCATTTCAGATTTGATGGAAGCAACATGTCCCAAAAAAAGTTGGAGGGCCACATTCATCATTATGTAGCATCCTCTTGACTTTAAGCAGCCATTGGTTAACATTTAGGAACTGAGGCCACCAGATGCTGCACCTTTGGAACGTTGTCCCCCTTTTGTCTCATAAGGAATTGAGGGAGAAGTAAGAGGAAGTTGTTGCTTGTATTACTTCTTCTTTGCTTTTTGTCTTCGTTAGATCTGCAGGATAGAAAACATCTCTCACCTGAGTGACCTGCGCGTGTTGAACCTGTCGGGAAACTGCATCCGAAGGCTGGAAAACCTTCAGGGACTGGACTCTTTGACCGAACTCAACCTGGAGCACAACTGCATCTCTGCTTTGGTGAGCAACATTTTTTTTTGGAATGAACGACAGGTTTAAGGCCAATGTCCAGTTTTCCCCTCCTGCACACCACCCATTCAATATATATATATATATATATATATATATGAAATTCAATGTGCTTTGTTTTCAGAGATTTTAAATTAGGGAGAAAGCACCTAACATGACACTGCTTTTTTTCTCTCGCAACTTGAAAGGTGGTTTTTGACTAGAAATAGGACAGCTGCAGATTTGAAAGCTGCTCCAGTAGCTGAATTTAACCGGCTTTCTGCAGCTTGGCTCTTTCTGATCTGCCGACCTTTGTTTACGGCCGCTTGCAGATGTGCCGACTCAGGGCTGCAATTAACACAACCTCCCTCTGTCTGTGAAGGTAACAACTACCTTGTGAGATAAAAGGTCCCTAACAGCTATCAAGTTAAATATACAACGTTTTTATAGAAAAGAAAAGGTTTGTGGTGCTCTTCATCCCCTTTTAGAAGTCCGAGATAGATTCACTTTTCTCTGCTCAGATCACGTGCACAGTTTTTTTTCACTGTCACAAAATATCAAACACAGGATTTTTATCAATAGAATCTTTGTGAAGAAGTCCGTGCAGAAACATATCTTGTTTGTGTTACCCAGGGAGACATAGCTCATTACCCACAACCTCCCACTGATACTCCGCCACACTGAGAGCGAAACTGGATATTCCAAACATGGAAACTCACTTCCCCCGTTTCTATAGTTTTAATCTGATAAACAGAGCACAGCGCGCCTAAACAGGCCTCTTCATTTGTATGCAAATCCCCTCAGTCCTTCATTGATTTTTGAGGTGGAAGATTAAAAAAAAAGAGAGAAAAAACAAAACGATATCAAACATTGTAATTCACCCGAACGCCCATCCCATCTTTCACCCTGTCCCCTGGATGTAAGCTCAGAGCTCCTAATTAATGGATGTTGGCCAATGTTTTATTTGACACGCTAGAAGAAAAAAACGTTTTTTTTCTTCTTGTAATGTCTGTCAAGAGGGGTTCTAAGCCTTTCATTCTACCTTGGGTTTGGTGTAAATATGGTGTGACTTAATAACCGTGGATTGTTACAAAAGTAAAAATGCACTTGAAAGTGGGATGTGACCTGTGGACTGAATGCCACATCATCTGTTGTTTCAGTGGAAAATAGCAGAAGCCAGAAATGTTCCAGCAAAGATCACACAACAAGTTCATTCAGTCAAAGGAAATGCTGCAAAAGTCAACAGATCCCAGCTGGAGAAAACACATCAACGTTCACGTGTGTGTGTGTGTGTGTGTGTGTGTGTGTGTGTGTGTTTACTTGAGTAGCTTTCATACCTCCTCGCGGTGTCTGCTGTTGCGTGCAACTCGGAAATCTTTGATGAGAGCTTATTCTGTGTTTGGGGGGTAATGGTTCTGCCGGAGATCAGTGTGAAAAAAGAAGGCACGCAAGCTGTCAGTGAGAGGAGGGAGGAGCCGGAACAAAGAGGTGAAGGCACGGCCATAAAGATAAATACACACCCGCAGGCATGCAGATTGCAGACACATACACACACACACACACACAGACACACACACAGACACGGGAGAGGCACAGCTGCACGCGGCCTCACAGCAAATCCTGATTGGTTCCGATCGATCAGGTTGTCCAAAAAGGGAGTTCACATTGGTGGGCGATTGTCATGCAGCTCATCAGCTCGGTGATGACATCATTCTGTCTGAGACAGGGCTGCTATATTTAGCCTAAGACTCTGTGCAGGGGCTGCTGCGGTGCAGCATCCAAACAGGAGCTGGCATACACACAGTCCCTGGGAATGTGTTAGATTGTCTGCGCTGCTTAACAGTGGACATCGTGACTTGCAGTTTTTTCTGGAGAACCAAAAGCATCCCGCCTCCGTATACAACAAAGGAACAGACTTTGTTTATGAAAATAAACACTTCGTTCAATGGGAGAAAAAAAACAGGCAGGTTGTTCTCATAGATTCAATTAGAGAAAAAACATTATCTTGTCAGCCATTTCTGCACCCATTAGCCTCTTTATGATGTACTAGAGGGTAGTGAGGTACTGAAGCTTATCAAGCTGACATAAAGGACGACAGAATGCAAATATATGCTAGAACCACAGGTTTTTTGCACAGTTTTGTTATGTTACAGCTAAACATAGAGTTAAGATGTGCAATGGGCTTGTGTTACACCAAGTGGAATCTGATTAAAAATATGTATTAATGTAAAATATATCTTTAAACAAAAAAAGAACTTAATATGGAAAGTCAATTACTCCTGCAAACAGAAAGCACAAATACTACACTTATGAACATAGATCTTCCACAGTTACTATGGTGGTACTCCCTCAAACAGATACAATAAGTCAAAAGTTGTGTCAAACACTCCTTTTTCTGCTTACTGTGCAGCTGTGTGAAAAGAAATGTCACGATGGAAATGATTATACAAAGTTGGGTAACTAACTAAAATGACATCCTTGCCACACAGCCCATGGAGGGCTGTGTGGATTTCCATGCACAAAACCTCTGTCATGGCACCGTGTTGTTTTCTGCAGATGAGCTAGCTTAACCTGAATGCTGGGCCTTTGTGTTATTTAAGCAGAGGCTGGCAGAAACGCTGGAGGAGGATGCAAGGCGTTGGCTGCAATATGGGTGGATGCTGACGCAGCTCATTCAGGCCCTGCTGGGTGGGTCCTCTTTGCGTCCAGCATGTGTAGCCCGGGCCATTAGAACACACACACACAACCTAGACTTCTCTAACGGAACTTAAATCTCCCCCCGCGCTGGCAGCTGATGAGTTGCTGTGGTGATGACATTGTCTTTGTCCCTATGTGTCCAGCTCAGCGTGCCAGCTGGCCAGCTGCTGCTCTTCACCCCACCCCCTCACCCAAGGCTGCATTGATTTTAAAGCCGAGCTAGTCTGCTGGTAAAGGCTTTCCTTCATCCCCGCTCTGAATTTGGCCCGGCTGCTGTCGCTGTGCGATGGGCTCCAGCGCTGTGGCTACCTGTTAGGTCGTTTGTGTTTCAGTTAGCATCGTCAAGCTAGCCTCCTGCTGCAGGGGATCACTGCATTGGCGCAGCTCTCCCTCCCCTCCCCCTGTTCTCCTCATGCTCTCTCTCCCTCATATTCTCCCTCTCTCCGTTGCCCCTCCTCTCCATGTGCAGACAAGGCAGCGTGCCGCTTGCGTGTGTGTGTGTGTATGTGTGTGCATGCGCAGGGGCGGATGGGGATGCTGAATGCTGGAGCAGAGCGCTGCAAGGTGACTGAGGGAATGGAGAGGGAGCCGGTGCTGTGACGATGCAGTGGCCTCTTCCAGAGTATCTTCCTCTCTTCACATCCATCCATCCCTCTTTCTCCCCTCTCCCTCTCTGTAGACTGAGGTGGACCGACTGCCCTGCTTGCAGCGCCTCTTTCTCAGCTGCAACAACATCATCAGGTAAGAGCTTGCACCGCTTAACTCCCTCCTTCCCGCAGGGCAGGGACAGGGACAGGGACAGGACAGCGCCACGTCCCCTCCTCTGGGTCTTGGCAGCTCCCCAGCACAACAGACACACACATGCAGGTTTGCTGGGGTGGACAGTCTCTGTAACCTAGAAAACACCAACCTGAAGGATTCTTTGTCGCCAGTGTTTAACACACTGTTGTGAATGTTACAAAAATATTAAACTTAATATTGATATCAATAACTAATTTGATAGCTTGATTTGTGGACTGCATGGTTAGGCGAGTGTGTGTTTGGTTTGAGAGCAAATGTTAACCTTCTTTACTGATTTTTTTTTTTTTATTGTTCATTATTTAAGAGCCTAGAGAATGAGAAGTTATAGAGTTGACTAGTTAAACCAGCTCCTCCTCCCGAATGAGAGAAACTGAAGGTTGAATTCAGGGTGGTACAGTATCCATGCCCACGGTCCCCTTGGTCTGTGATAGATTGGACCTGACATTTAATGCCAGCCTTGCTCTTCAGGTTTGTGTGCTTAAGCATCTGATGCACAGCCACAAACTGAATCCTGACCAAATAAAAGGGAAAGAATTCACCAATTTTTCAAAACTCTCCAGAACTTCACAGAATGACAAACTGAAATCTGCTATTCATTAAACTAGCTGACATATGTTTGTATGTGTAGAATACTTTTTTAAAAGTCTATGTTGTTTAATATTTTTTTTAATATGTATTAATTTTTTCTGCGCCTAAAACAGTCGAGAAAGAATGTAACGTTTACCTTTTGAAGGTGTTCTATGCTGATAGGAGGTCATCTGTGCTCTGTTGCTAGGTAGAGATGCAGCACGCACGGATGTGTTTAGTGTTGTCAGCTTATCGAGCAGGGGACCTTGGAGCAAAACTCCTCAATGAATACATGCAAATATTCGTTTAGCAAACCTGCCTGAATCAAATTAGGAACTTAACAGAATTAATATTGAGAAGTGGCAGAGAGTTGTGGCACAACATGATGAAGCTGGAATTTACATATTTTTAAAGTACATTCCAGTATGTGCCTGCAGCTCAAACACAATTTTCTCAGTCACTTTGTATTGGAAAAGCTTTAACTCAGGAGAATCCCATGTTCACTTATAATTACTGTTTTATTGGACATTTATATCATGGCAAACATATCGAAGAGACTGCTGGTCACTGTGCAATGATAGGGGATGTTATTTCTTTCATATCGTCTAGTTTTTATTTGGCGGGAGTTCTATAGGGAAAAAACACAATTAACATCTCTCATTTATGTATTGGTCTGACAAAACAGTGATAGAATTTAAGCCTCATGGTATCTGCTCAAAGCCATGTGTCAAACATGATGGTCAGACAGTATTTGATGAGGAACTTGAGGACAGAAGAAGACTAACATTTCCAAGTCATCCCAAAAGAAAGGTGAATTGGCTATGCTCTGATTTAGTAGCTTATCAGTGGTTATTATCTGATCCTCCTTAATATTCAGATAAATTTCAGGCTCACTGCAGACAGGTTTATTCAGGCAACTGATTAATCAGGGTTATTATAACAAATTAGCAATGATACAATCTCCTCCGCCTCTCCTACCATGACTGCTTTAAAAAAAAGTTTTTTTCCCTGTTACTACAAGTAGATATCATAAAAGTGTAGCAATTCAATTATTACCTCTAGCACAATTTTAGGCTGCCAGGTTGCCAGCTAAATTACTAGTTTATCATGGCCTCCCTCCGTTCAAGAAGCTCTTTTTTCAGTACAAGCCTGGGCAAAAGGGGAGAGGCTGTCTCACATGATTTACTTGCAGAATGACATCTGAGTACTTCATCATAAGTTTTTGTGAAGCATGCTGCTTAGGCAAATGAAAAAAAATACAATATGCTTTAACTCAGAGCTGCTTCTAAAATGTTTTTTTTTTGTTTGTGCAGTTTTGATCAACTAGCCTGCCTTGGAGAGTCAAGCTCCATTTCTGAGCTCACCCTGGATGGGAATCCTGTAGCCCTGGAGACATGGTACAAGCAGGCCGTCCTGCGCTGTGTGCTTCATCTGAGACAGCTGGACATGAAGCGCATCACAGTAAGTTTGTCTGTGTGAGTTTTAAAGGGATAAACTGGCCGCTGGCCAGATTCTTCCAAAAGACCAAAAGCTACTTTTTTATTTATTTTTTAAATGATTTATAAAAACTCATGAAAATGAAATAAGGTTAAAAAAACAAACATCCTCCCCTCCAAAAATGTGAAAAAATGAAAAAATCAAAGCAAAATTTAATGCATGTATCTGTATTTACTCCATTTACTATGAAGCCCATAAACCAATAACCTTTTCAGAACTGTAGCACCAAACAGATCAGGGACAAAGTCTTTTTTGGACATGCAAAACAAGATGGCTTCCAAATAAATACCCCAAACTGTTAGAATCCAACAGAGCTCCATTTCATCCATCATTGAAAATGGAAAGGGTACAACCCCACAGCAAACACACCTCAATACGGCTGCTCTGGGACGTTAATCAGAGTGGCAACAAAGAGGTCAAAGGTAACCTTAAAGGTGTTGGACAGTTCCACTGAGGATACTGGTGTATCTTCTCATACCTCTTTCCATCAATCAGGCGTCTCCAGCCTAATGTAGTCCTTAATGATGATTAGTGTTTGTTTTCTGACCAGGATACATTATGTCCTCTGGCAACATGTTCATCAGGGATCAACCTATGACATTTAAGAAGAGTGTTTGCCTTATACATTTTCAGTGGGCAATTTGACAAGACGGTGATTAACCGGATGACACATGAGGTCATTGTTTTAAATGGTGTGTGCCACAGTGCGCTTCACTTAAATATCAGCTTGCTTTCAGAAGCTGTCAAGCAGGGAGCATCCAGGTCTGAGCTTGTACTTTTAAGGAATCTGCGAGTACCACACACCTCGCCCCCAAAACATTAGCTCAGATATGGCAAAGTTCTTTTTTTAAATCACGGCTCAGATTTCAACAGTTTTCATGTTTTCACACGATAATCAAGACACATGTGAACGGGTTTCAGACTTATTGGCTTTCAGATTTTCTCCATGACCTCCTCGACATTTTTTTTTTTTTTTCCCACCACTGACTTTTTGTTAACCTGTCAGCCGTGACACAAATCATGTCAACTGACTGATTAGGAATAACAAGAATCCCCTACCCTTTGCTGTCACCGAGCAGTCAAATCTGCTGACTGACTGATGGTAGTTTGGATATTGCTTATGACAGTAATGGATGACAGGACTGAATGAGAAAAATTTAGATGAGAAATTTGTAACAGCATACACAGTAGAACTGACCAAAATGTCTAAAAATGTAATTTTCAGTACTGTTTTAAGCCATAAATGGAAAAATCAACTAATCTTACATACAAAATCTCTGTAAATCTCTCTGACAAAGGGAAATCATTACACTCCAGTGCGGCTCATCTATAGCCCCTGTTGATCTGACTTAAGCATCGCCTCTGTTAGCTTGTCACAGACTGCTGAATATCCCCCTGTGCTTAGCCTCCACAGTCAGATTGTGTTGGCAGCGTTGCATTCTGGGAGTTTTGGCTTTGGCCAACAGCTGGGCTCAGTTTATGGGAGACTGAGAATCAGACTGTTAATCCTGTGATGCAGCCGGCTGGTGTGAGAGTCTCGCCGAGCATGTACAGTTGGTGATTTTTTGGTGACGAGAGGAGCCTTCCAGACAGCGTCCTTTGTGGTTCCGCCCTCTCTGTTGAATTATTCACAACTCCTGAATGGAGCGACACTCTGATTGCACCAGCTATCCCTTTCAGGACGAGGATCGGCGCATGGCAGGTGTACAAGCTCGAAAAGAGGAGGAAAAGAAGAAGGAGAGTCACAAGCAGACCATTCATAAGGTACCAATGAGATCTGCTTTCCTTTGTTCGTCTTTAGTTGCCTGGATTCAGCGTATAGGATCATAGTAAATAAAGAATAGACATCAATGCCTGTATTTCAATTTGCAGAATTATAAGGGGCTGTATAAAAACCATAAGGGCCTTTTTCAAAAGATATAATTTATGAATTTTAAAACACATGAAATAATTGGAGAGGTTGAAACTGCTGGATGGAGCTTAGTTAACATTAAGTGTTCAAGCCTTCCAAAGTCACAACATATTTGTTTTGAGATCTGACAACATCTCACATAAAGTCTCAGTCCAAAGGATAATGATGGTGTCCAGGTTCAGCTGTAACTATTTATTTGAAGGGCAGCTAACATTTTTGGCTATTTAGTATAAGGATGCTCCAGATTTATTTTCTTTAACTTGCTGTAAAATATTTACATCACGCTTTCAATTTTTCTTTCAGCTTTTGTGTCTTGGCAGTGATGAGGCTGAGCTTTATTGGTGTCATAAAACACACATTTAGAATGCTCCATAGGCCCCATTTTTTAATGTATCATCGGTTCTACATTACACGGCAGTCCTTTGGGGGTGGTAATCTGTTCACAGGAACACTGTATACGTGCATGTGTCTATACATTTATTTCTTTGAGTGATCTAAGCTATTTAGTCCTCCGCATGCATCTGCTTTGCAGTATGAGTGATCATATGTGTGCCAAAGCACCTGCTGTGTTTTACTGAGAGATGGACTCTGTGCAAAGCTCATTGTCCCTCTGTAACCTAACTCTTGCTAATCCCTTTGCTGAGAAAATGTTATATTGAATGTCTTGTCTATGGGTTCACGAGGGCAAAGGCTCCCTCTGTGAACTGACGCTGACTCACCTGTGTTTCGAGGAGTGGCACATTCCATTGTTAAGCATATCGAAACTACAGCTGAGTCAATGAAAAGTTAGCAGAAATATAATATAAGTGTGAAAAATGTCTAATGGAGTGGGTAACCACTATTGTTAGAGACAGCAGCAAATATGTTATGCAATAAAAGTTATGATGAGGTGCTGGCCTCAAGGTCTGTGGATAGTTTAATAATCTCTCCACTCTCTCGACTGACATAAGGTCATTATTTTAAAGCCTCTCTGTGCGTGTGTGCGTATATGTATACACTCATATGTTCTGCTCATCAAGGAGAAGCGGCGTTTAGCAATCCGTAATGCAGCACAGCAGTGGGAAGGCGTCAGGGCCGGCTTGGAATTGCCACCAACAAACGGCACCAAGGAGGAAGTCAGTCCAGACAACAGCCCTGCTCACAGCCTTGCACAGACCAACGGCCTTACTCAGGAGCCTTCTCCAGATGAACCAAGGTACACTCCACACAATGTGTGTGAGTCCTGGGTCGCTTTTATTGAGTGCAAAATGTTTGCTCAGATCCAGGACTAAAGGGATAAAGAGCCAAGTGATCTGATTTCTGTGACCTGGTTTCTGATCTTTTTTAGAGATTCCATCAGACCGGCTTTGGGTGGGGGAGTGCCTTGTTTTGGTACTGAGTAAAATATCAAACTAGGATGACTCGCCATGAGAGTCATACAGCCATTTTTTTTTGTCTTATAAAATGTCGTGCTGAATGAGTTGAGCCCATTATCAAAAAAAAAAAAATGTTGATAGAAATAAACAGCCCCCACATGAGATTCATTCTAATCATTACTTGTAAAACTTCTGATGTATTCACGAGCCCCCAGGAAATCATGCCAAAAATGTCAGTATTTCTGCTCTCTGAATGCACGCACTCTTGCCAATGGTAAAAATTGAGAAAAACCATGGAAAAACCATGACATGGTTACAAAACATGAGGTCTGTTGATATTTTTTAACATTAGTATACTGAAATCATACATGGCCTGTGTATGGATAGGCAGAGAACGAGCCTTTAAGTGTCTGTACGTATTTGTATCCCATTCTCTGAGGGTCATTTATAAAAAAAAACATGCAAAATTGAATTTTACTGGGGTGGTTTTAGTGAATAAAAAGTATCTAGGTATATATTCTTACAATTGGCAGGCTCTCTGAAAAAAAAGAGCTTGTATACCTGCTGAGAACTTGTGTCTGTTTTTAACAGACGGGTAAGCCCAGGTTCAGGACCGGAACGGCCATCAGGAGGAACGGAGAACAGACTTCGCACCAACAGCCGCCCAAACAGCCCACGGGATCCCAAGTAAGGCACAAAGGCTCTAAATGTCCACCCTGTCTGTTAGGTCAGAAGTTTGGGCTTCTCAGTATGTCATTAAGTGTATGCTTCCACTCCCACCGTTACTTGCCTTCTCCTGACATTAATATTTCATGCATTATTTCTGGCTGCTTCATTTCCCGTCTTGATTTAACACCAGTTGTTGGATTGGTTGAGATTAAACAATAAGTGAGATAATCGGTATCTGCAAGAGGCCACCTTAGAATATTTTGGAGCAACACAGTAACCTTTTAACACGCTTCAGGGCCACTGGCTGCTCTTGCTCAATGTCTGAGATGTCTTGTGACAGTTTTGGCCTTCCATGATTTGTAGCGAGATGTTGGAAGGGCTCTATTGTGAACTTGTAGGTCTGATGTTTTCTCCTAACACAGACTGTGATCCAGGTTTGGATGAGTAATGAGAGGGAGGGCTGAGATGAAAGTGTGGGCCGTGTCCAGAGCTATTATTACATGATTCAAAAGAGGGCCTTTCCTTCCTGCACCAGGATATGAAAATGGGCCCGAAGCAAAATCCTTCAATGGCAATAGTTTTCCATCAGAGGTCCTATTGTAACTTAGCGCTGTTGCTTAACAGGTTGAGGTGAAAAAGGAGGACTCAACGCGATTCAGTCCAGTAGGCTCTAATGATTTGTGAGTTTTATTACTTTGGCTCGTATTCTCTGACGAAATACCTGGGGAACTTCACAATGCTTGGCAGCACTGACTTGAAATAGAAGCAAGATCTTTGACTCAGAGGTCAGAGGGTTAAATTCTCGAAATGAACAGTGGGTGGGAAATGTAGAAGTTGTTTTGCTGAACAGTGTGTGGGTTTTTTAGGACGGCTGCAACGCTTACAACGTGGAATCCAACTCCTGCTGAAGTACTGCACACCAAGAGAAACGGCAGCATTCTCCCCCATAAAGAGCATAGAGGGGGATGATATAAGAACCTCTCTCCTCTGTGTCATGTGAATCATCATTCTTTGTCGACTAGCATGGCATTGAACAGCAAGAGCCAGGTTCAATAAACTGTTCGCACTTCACTGACCAAAACTGTGTGAATGCATGGAAGGCAGCCATTTGCATACACATTAGCATTGCCTTGCCTATAAATGCATGTGTATGTGGGGCAGTCTGTGTGCTGATGAACAGAAAGGAGAGAAAGATGTATAGACGGATCAGGGTTTTCTCAAACAGCCTTATGGAAGCCTGCAGGACAATCCTGTGCCAGCGTGATCTGTAAATGTTTGTTTTCTTTTTAAGATCTCATGAGGGAGGTCATCTGCTGCTCTCAGGAATAATCAACAGGTGGGGTTATTTAAAGCAAAAACGTCACAATGAGAAACTAATTCAGATAAAAACAATCTTGCTGCTTCAGTGAGCCTGATTTGTCTAAATAAATGGCTTAAATGGAGTAAATCTTTTCCATATCAGGATTAAAGAAAATCATCCACATCACAAAAGGGTTAAAAAGAGTTAGCACTAAATAGGGCACAGCTTCGTGCAGAATATCAGAAGGGTACTGGTTCACAGCAAAGCTGACAGTGATGGAGAATGGGGCCAAAATGCCTCGGCAGCAGTCTTTGTTTAAATAAAAAATGTATTTGAATATTTTATTTATATGATATTCCACTGGCTTTCTAGGACAGCAGGATATTTGCCAACACTTAAGTACACAAAACCTAAACCCCATTACAGCTGTGTCTTTATGTTACTCTAATGTGGTTTCATGTTAAATTAATTCAGCCCCTTTCAGTTCAGGTTGTCAGGGCTGAAACACTGTGTGTCATTGTGGACGGGAGGAAACAGAAACTTTTGTTAAGTCATGCTTATTGTGCGGGTGTTTCTTTTCTAAGCAACGGCCTCTCGGCTACCATTCGGGAAAGAATTTGGCCCCTGTGTGCCTAGTCAAGTTTTCAACGTTTCGCTTGATCTCAGGATCAGTTTTTAAACTTCTCCAGATGACAATTTCCTTTTTTGAAAAACTTCTTTTAAATGAAAACTCTATCAGTTGTCATTAAAATGAATGATTGATTTGATTATCATGCTTTTCTTTCTGTAAAGAAAAAAAAACATGATGTAATATCTGCTTGAAATTAGCAAGCGCAGTTTGGGGACACATTGGAATGTGAATGATGAAACCATTTTAAGCTTAGTAGTGTCTCTTTGTTCCTTAAATTTATGGGATCATGACTTGTTTCATTGCCAAAGTGTGACTGTGATACAGGCCCAAGTCAATCCATTCACAAGCAGTTCATTTGACCTCGTATCCTTTGGAGATGGAAGAAGGATGCTAGGCAGTGGAAGAGCTGTTAAGCAGAAATCCAACAGTGGTATTGGTGACTGTGTGAGGAGATGGGTTGGCCTTTTCACAGCTCAAACTTTAGTGAAGAGAGACTAAACGCATTCTGAGCACTAGTGAAAAAGAATTTTAGTGGGGCTCATAAATAAAACATGAAATCCTAAACCAACACAAGGTGCAGAAACATTCACATTCACAGTCTGCACTTGTTTTCACTCCTAATGAAAAGAAGGAATGCTGTGTTGTAACGACCGCTCAGACAGTGTGACTACCTCCCATTATTTAGGCAATTGTAGACATGTGCGCAAACTATGTCCCCAGGGGGGGGATTAATTTTTTTTGAGAGTTGACAGATGTCCTATATAATTGCATATAGGATTAAGTTGGATAGTCTGAAGTGAATTAGACTGATAAACTGATGCTGCCACAGCAAGATGCCTTTGACTGTGACAGATTCCTCACCTTTTTATCCCCACCTGGTTCCCGTCTTCACTCACCACTTGTTGGTGGGCTCGTGCCACGAAGAAGTTGAGGGTATGTGTCACGTAACAGAGTGTGCTGATGGCACAGTTCCATGTGTATAAGTTGCTCTCATTCTTTCTGTGTCCTAATGCCATGCAATGCTCCATCTCCTGATTCTATATCTGCGAGGCGTGTCACATCCTCAGCGTCTTCTGTCTTCTTCCACGTTTCTGTCCCATTGAAATTGGACACATTTGGACTTTGCAGCCTGGAAACAAATTCACTGCTAGGGAAAGATTTGAAACTTTAAAGAGCTGCTTTGTTGTCAGCTGTCAATGAACTGAAGGGGAATGCAGAAATCGGTTGCTACACTCACTTTTGTGAAGTGGATTGTGGCTTTTACAGAAGGAATCTTGTGCTCCAAGTGCATTGTCTTGTCTGTCAGAGTCTTTTTCTGTCTCCTAAGCTAAGAGAACCAAGGAAATAGAGTGGGACTTGATCTAGTTGTTGTTTCAGGCAACCTGTTTGTACTTTTTTAGAAATGTTTGTGTTATAATTATGGTCTTTAAGGAACTGCTTAGTGCCCTCAGAAATTTGCCGTTCCTTAAAAAAAATACTGACAGCAGGGATGACTCTGCAACACCAAGGTAATTTCTTCTAATGCATCAGTAGGAACTCCCCTCACATTCATTGAAACCTAGTGATGAATGGGTTCATATTTAGCGTGCACAATGGATCCTGTCGGCTGTTCAGTACATAGTATTGCATCTGTATCCTGTCTGTTGGTTTGTTGGCTGTTAATCATGAACCTCAGCAGGCATGAATATTATAGTATTTTACACACAAAGTAGCATCCATACTTTCAGACATAGTAATTAGGTGTACATGGACAGAGCTTAATGCAAACTCCCCGATGATTTCATTTATAACATACTGACCAGTAATGCAAAAGTACTCACAGTACTTTGTAATGCCAAAATAAAATCAGAAATTTGATTCTGCTCTGTACTTCTGCTCGTAAAGAAAGTGATTCACTTGTTCTGTCAGCTTCTTACAATTAAAACATGGCCTATATACATATTCTCTGAGTAACCTGAATAAACAAAGGAGCTGAAAATGTGCTGAAGGTTTAGTGTTTCATCTGTCCCAAATTTACGGAATGCCAGGGCTGATTGCCTTTATTCTGTTTTTTTCTACATATTGGGAGATCAATGATACAGCTTCACCCTAACCCATTTTTAGTCTTAATCCTCTAAAAAACCATAGGCCGTGCCTTAATGCTGAGATCTGCTAATTGGTTCTGTAATTGAGGAACACAGAAAACTGGGTGTTTTATTGTAAGATATACAGGCTGGTTATCTGAGTATTTGTTTGTTGTGTTTATTGGGAAGTGAAATGTGTGTCTGATATTGTGAGCCGACAGTAACATTACTGTTACTTTACAACTAGCTACAAGATAACTGGTGCCAGTATACAATGTGACAAACATACAATATTGCCAACTGTGCCAATATGATGTTAAAGAAAGCAAGAATTAGCTTAAATTTCATGAGCAAACACAGTGTCCTTGAGAGGACCACACACAAAGACCTTCCCTCTTCATGGTCTAATCTTTTTATGCACTCTATTTGGATGAGAAGAAACAAGTTTATAGTAGGTCAAGGCCTAAGCAGTATCCAAAAGTGGAATATTCTAATAATATCACTGATTACTGAACACAACATCTCTCAATTTCCTTGTTAGAAAAAAGTCTATTGGTTGTAATAATTTCTTTCCTTTTTGATAGATGAGATCTTACATTTTTGAATACAACTTTTGTTGCCATAGAACATCTGTCTTCTTTCCCTCCACCTTTCTGTCGATTCTTTGCATGACACCTTATGTTTATCTTAAAATAGTACAGTTCAATCAATTCCTTGAACCTAAAAGTCTTTGATGGGGTGTTTTTTTTTCCTCGAAAGGAATAATTTCTCCAGCATAGTATGTGATTCCCTCACCCGGTGTGTAGTGTCCGCTTGTCTTTTGACCATTTATTCACCAACCTTGATTTAAACAGACACTCTTTTTTAAAATCAGTCCCAACAAGAATCTTAGATTAAACTGTATTCAAAGGATTAGGCTTCAAGCCACTTAGGCTTTTGGTTCCGGACTGATTGGGTGAGTGTGAAACACGAAGAGGGGTAATAATTTTGTTGGCGGGTGGAACTGTGGGGTGATCAGTGTTGAGCAGAGTGCAGCCAGTAGCCATCTGATGCCCCGCTATGCTCCAAATTCCCCAGAGTGTCAGTATACCAAGAAGGCTGTGCTCATGGGTTCAAGCAGGGAGATTATGTCTCCCTGAGACTTTCCAATATGCTCGGCTCACGACTGTGTTATCAGGAAAAAGGGGCCTCTCAGCTGTTGTGTTGGAGAATAAAGAGAAACAATTAGGCAAGACAGACGGGAGACTGACTAGGCCCGTGAGTGATCTCTGCCTTTCCCTCTAGCAGATGTATGCACAGCACTAATGGCTCAGAGGTAGTCTCTAGGTTTCCCAGAATAACTAATTCTGGGCATTCATATGAGGACTTACCTACAAGCTGTGTGTCTTTGTGAATGTGTGCACACTTTTCAGGCTTGTGGAGTCAGGGAGCGGCAGCGTTCAGAGCTTGTCCTTGTCCGACAGTCACCTGGCAGAACTGGATGGAGACACCCTGCGTTTATTCGGACTCGGAGCCCTGGAGGCCCTGGAGAGGGGCTGGGGTGTTCAGACCGCCGGTGCCGTCACTGTCATAACCTTCCGCTACATCAGCTTTGACGCCATTGTACCAACACTGCCGAGAATTAGGGTCAAGTTCCCAAATCTGTCGGTGAGGCTCAGTGTTAACATAAATTCACCCAAAGAGCACAGGTTGCCTTTTAAACTAAGGGTTGGGTTTCGGTTCAGTAGCCTAATTTGCTCTTTCAATGGATAAACCTTATTATACACATATGAATCATTTAGAGTTTTGCTGATGTTAATACAACTCAGCTTGGAATTAGTTAGTATGAGAGAGTATCCATGATTCAGCTAATCTGTTAATAAGATACATAGATCCCCAAAAGCTTTACCAGAATGGCTTAGCGACTCACAGAGATAGACAGTTATTCCCCGTTGAACCTGAACCACAACTTGTTGCTTTCTCCACAGCATCTGATCTTCCTGGAAACCAACATCAGCCGTCTCCCACAGCTAGCGGCTCTGGCTCAGGTGAGGCGCCTGGACCAGCTGACTGTCCATCCAGAGGGCAACCCAGTGGTCAGTCTGGCTCTGTGGCGCTCCTTCATCATCTACCGCCTCTACCACTTTAATCTCCAGAGGATCAACGGCCAGGAGGTGTGAGCCAGTTGAACTTTACAGCAAGTCATATATGATCTACAAACATTTGAGAGATGCTTTTTTTGTCTAGAGCAAGAGAAGAAAGTTAAAATATCTAGTGCAGAAGTCCAGGATGTGTGCTGGAATGTACAAAATGACTTTTTAAAGTTTACATTTTTTTGAGTTTCAATTTTTTTATTTGATAGCTTTTTATTCTGTTTCTGATAGAAATCTATTTCATTCCCAGCCTTTTCTAATTATTCAGACCACTTCTCTGAAGCTGTATAAAAGTGTTAATAGAGGACACTAAATATGGATATAAATAATTAGAAATATCTGAATGTGGAAATGGAATATATATGCATTATAATCGTTTCATCTCAGTATGACAGAATTTTATGTAACATAACTTTACATTGTTAGATTTGGTGGATTGAGACAGTTTTTTTTTTTTACATCAGATCATAGAAAACAAAGAATTCCTCTCCGATTTGTAAATAACCTTAAAATTGGTCAAACTTGCGGGCTCTTATTCAATATGTCAGCGTCTGTTTTCATGCCTCACCCCTATTTGCCTGTTAAATGTCCCTAATACGCTTGCCATGTCGGGGGATCCGCGTTAAAAAGCGGTGAGGGGTCCTGTGCGGTGTGTTACATCTGCTTCTGTTTATGCGCCGACCTCAGGTGACCATGAACGACGTGATCGCAGCAGAGCGAGTGTTCGGGACTCTGGGTCACATAGCAGCCACCGAAACACCACGCTGCCGGCTCCTCCTGCTCCTGGAGGAGTCCAGGTGAGAGCCCCACCGTGCTCAGCGACAGGTGTGCCCTCCGTTTGGGGCCGCTGTGCCGTGTTTGTTTAGAATGTTCCGCTTCCGAATATGTAGGCTTACGTACATGTGTTTGCTTGCCTGCGTTTAGCGTTTTGTGTGTATACATTTGAGTGCACGTGTGTGTGAGTGTTTGTTTGGGACACTGAGCCAGAGCCTGGCACCGAGGAGCCAGGGGAATTAGACTGTGAGTCTCAGTGTAAGGGTGGGTACTTGGCACTTGGACACACACATTCCTCTGACTCCCCAGCCAAAAAAACTCTTGAGATCTGTCACTCTGGGTCAATAAAAAATCGTGTGTAGGAAAAGGCAGCTGAACTTGTCACGTCCAATGCAAATTTCTAGCTCTCCTTATTTAAAAAAAAAAAAGGTAAAGACAAAATTCCTTTCACCATGTTGTGATGTGGAAAATTACAGTCAAAAGAACAGTTTGACGTAAATTAGGTCAAATCTAAAAATAATACATATGTTAATTAATCTTTAATGTAAAAAAAATCTCTGAAAGATTTATGAACGAACTAAACTTGTCTCTGGGTCATCCTGAGTTTCCCTTTTATTTAGAAAATGAGCTTTATGTCTTGATCTAAGCGGCATCTCATCCTCTTATCTGTGCACATCATGTTGGTGTTCTGTGGAGAGATGATACAAAACTGCCCAAGGCCTATGTTTATGTTCATACCATCATGAAAAGCTTAAACACTGTTATCCTCATGCATCATTCACTTCCATTTGTTACAGCAGAAGTTTTATTTGAGGTCTGATTTCACAAAACCTCTGTGTTGTAGGTGGTATTTCACAAACGGTGAATGGTATCCTTTTTTCTCCGTTTTTTTTTTAGGAACAATTACTTTAAAAAAACAAAAGACTGTATAACAAAAAACATGTTCAAACCCATTGAATAGAATATGACAAAGTCTTACAGAGTTCGTGTTTCTATTTTTGTCAGCTTATACGGCTGCATTGTTTAGTGGTTTAAAACCTTGTTGAGGTGTCAAGTTTCCTGCACAGGTCAGTGAGTAGAGAAAGGCCATAGCATTCCCATGATCCCCACTGGGATCCAGCTACGTCAAGGTGCCCCGGATATTCCCTAGTCTGTTGCCTCAGATAAGGGCTTTGTTTAGCTAAATTAGCATATTGTGTCAAAAAAAGAACACACACTATGAATGGGATCATTTTATTGGATTATTTTAAAAGAGCGATGTTTACAGTTTTGTAAATATGTTAGCACAACCCAGCTTTGAGCTTAACCTCAAACTCACGGGGCCCTTTATGTTGCGAAAAAGGATTTGGATTAATTTACCATCAGTTATAAAGAACATATTTGAACTGTTACCATGAACACTCAGTGGTACTGTATTGCCAGTGTCAGTGCTGACAAGTTTTAACGAAGAGGGGATTTGACTCTACTGTTGGTCTTTCCAAAAAGATTGGTGCAACAGACTGCACATTTTAAAGGACTCTCATCAGATCTGCGCACACACAAAATCTTTAAGTCACTGTAATCTTTAAGTCACTGAAGATTTTCCAGATGAACCATTTTCGTAATGATCAGTTTTATGAAGAGAGGATGGAGGATTTGCCCTGGTCTGTTTGATGTTATTCAGTCAGACACACAAACATGCTCATGGCAAATGAATTTGAGTGTTTGCACTGACCTTGCAGTCTCATTCCCTAATATGCAAATTTCAGGTGTTCACATATGGAAATCAGTGACAGTTACATTAATCAAACCGGCATTTATCATCCAGCATCAGAGATGCATATTGAAGACCTTATGAGATGCTTCGAAGGATGCTGATGCTACTGATATTACTCATCTGCTTTCATCGACTGGATGTTTCAGTTGTCTGGAATAGTTCCCCCGATGCCTGCTGGAAGGATTCATCTCCAGAACTCCACACATTTCATTAGCAGGGGTCATTTCACGTGTCTACTCTGAAACTGCTTTAATAGTAAAAGAAAAAGAGTCATGCTAAATTAAGGGCCCAAACCCACAGATTTGACATATGTTCAGATACTGATCTTTTTCTGTGAGCACTTGCTGCAATGCTCAGTTTGGCCCCTGCTCATAAAATCAACTGTAGTCTCTCACAGAACCTTTACACATAATCATCAACAAATGCCGTTTCTTTATATCCCCCGTGGTTTTATGCTGACAAACACACATGCAGATATCTCTCTCTCTCTCAGAGATACAGATGTGCATGTCCTCACACACATTGTCGAACTTTGTGGAATGCTTGGCTCCCGCGTCCTCTGAAAACCTCAGCACCCTGGCATTGACCTGCTGAGCATGTTGGTGCAGAGGTGTGCCGTTTCCTTCTGGCAGGCAGCTCCATTTGATGTGGTTTTAGAGACTCACTGTCTGTTTACTTGACAAAAGAACTTGAACCTTAAAAAAAAATCCTAACTTGAACAGGTAAAACGTTAAGAGCGATGGGTTTATCAAAATTGCGTCTTGTTTTTTTCTTTCCATTTGTCAGCATTAAGGTGACATAGTGTTATTTGACCTAGTACGCCTTTATCACATTGGTTTAATAGTTTCACCCATTTGCTTACCAGGTTTTCTCCCCAGTTGCCTGTGCTTCCTAACTCTGCCCCGCTCACTCATCTCTCCTCCCTGTTTTCATCCCGAAGGAAGCGGCAGCTGCAGTTTCTGTTGGAGGGGCGCGGCCGGCGGGCCGGGCTGAGTCCAGAGGAACTGCGAGATAACGGGAAGCTGCTGGGCGAAAGCCTGAGCAGAGCACTGTTTAACTACCCCAGCAGGGACTGCAGTCCAGAGAGCCCTGAGGTTAGTCCTGTTTTCACTCGCTCACTCTATTTTAGCCGCAACACACTGGATCATATACTGTTCATTGGCAAAGAAGCATAGACGGATTTGAAATGAAACTCAAATAAAAGAGTGGTTATAAGTAACTGAACCAGGCTCTGGTATGAATTGGCTCCAGTAACACACAGGCCATCAGGTGCTGTCAGGAAGGATGCATCGCATAATATTTCCCACAACACATTAGTGGCACTGCATCTCAAAAGTGTTACCTCGTGTGCATCTGCCATCACAGATGTTGTAGAAAGATGAGCCATGTCAACACAGCATGTGACCTTTTTTTCAACGAAAGTGTTAGTTCTATCAAAACCTTAGCCACAGAATAACATCAAGTGCTGGAAGTGCATTTATTTGAGCTCACATGCTCATTGCTAACTCGCGCTACCGAAAAAGTTTATGTGTGTGTACTGCATGTCATGCACGTTAGATCTGAAATCTTTTACCTAGAGTTATATCCTGCATAACGTTTAGGCCTCACTCATAAAGTTCTACTGCTATAAAAAAAAAAGGATTCGATGTGAAAGGCTCATTCAGCAGCTGAGAGGATAAATGTTACAGCTGCTGTGACAATGACGCTAATGCAGTGACATCCTGTCTCATGTGGAAGTAAACTAACTTCCATCCTCTGTGGTTGGAGTACCTGACGGGTTGATGCAGATGGGATGCTCAGTTCTGTTGGGACATGAGATTTGCTGCTTTTGCTGTCCGCCTCCCTGCTCTTGTAACCTCTTAGCCGTAGATTGTTTGTTTTCGCTAAGATATAAAAACAATTTTTTTATATCTATAAAACCTTAATTCATGAAAAAAACAACAACAACTAAATGTTAAATCATTGGATCAGGATGGTATTTTAAAATAATTGTATCCATAAAAATAGAATGTGTAAAACTGTTTAGTTAGAAAAGGAAATAACATCCTGTTTAAATAACTACACACCTATTGTTGACTTGCTTTTATTCATACTGAGAGCATCCAAATGCCAGCAGGAAGAAGTGTGTAATTCTTAGGCAAATTACATCAATAGAAGCTTACTGTCCATCCATCTATTATCTATACTGCTTATTCCCAGTGGGGTTGCAGGAGGGCTGGAAGCTATCCAAGTAAAAGCTAACTACTAAATGTTTAAAAAAGACACCACAGGAGAAGCTGAAGACTGAATAAAATTTCTCTGCAGCACATAGGTTCCCCGTTATGTCGTGGAATCGTACAGGATAATGTCAGAATAGCTGAGTCAGAGCTGAACAGCTGAACAAGGTGGATGATGCACCGGTGCAGCAAACCCGAACTAAACCTGCTAAAGAAGCCCAGTGGGGGATCCATTGCCTGGCCCACAGAGATACGGAGGAATGGGCTTAAGAGAACCAATCACACTGTCCATCTAAAACAATGCAGCCAGTCCAGCCTTTTTTTCTATAGGCATTCTGAAAACGTCATGATTGTCCCGCTCAACGTTAATTAGACTCTGTTTTCTTCGCAGGAGGGTTCTATGGAATCATCAGAGCGTGCTACCATGATAGAACAGTACCTCCAGGAGTTGGTCCAAAGGGCATCCGACACAAATCTGAAGGGCGAAGCTTTACACAAGCTCTGGCCATCCATGTTTGCGGAGATGGTCAGAGACTGTGTGTTGGAGATGAAGGACCGAGCGGCCTTCCGCCAAGCCAGTCTAGCAAAGCTCTCTGAGACCAAGTGAAAAGGACCAAAGGTTCACCCATAGACCACCAGACACACTCACACACATGCGCACACACCACGTGGATCTCGCTTACTACAGATTTTCCCATTTCAAGCCCCATCCATACATCTTCACCAAAAGTTGGAGGTGCTTTCTTGAGATGGATGTAGACTTTTTAAAGATGTCAGAAGAATCATGGCTAGACATCTTGACTGAATGTAGATTTTCACTGAAAACACAGTAAGATTCTTCGGGGGTTTTAGCTCTGTCGTACCTAAAGAAGGTTAAAGGGACTCGTTGACTTGTGGCATCCTCTGCACTTTAAAAGCCTTCTGATTAACTCCCTGAGATGTCTCCATCATCAGCTGAAAATGACCGGTGTCTCTTTTCTGGAGACTTGAATAGTATTTCTGTCTTGTAATCATTCTCATGCATCGTTCTCTCACTTCTTCCTGCCTGACATAAAAAGAGGGCACAGAAACAGAGCCTTTTTTGTTTACCACTGATTTTCTGTATTGTACTTAGTATTAAAAGATTCTGCATTAACACAGTGTGGGTGTTCATAGTTTGAATGTTTTTTTTATATATATTACGTTGCTGTTGGAGTGAAGATGTCTGATCTTTCAGGTTGGTTTCATCTCATACGCAAGCAGTCTCCTGTCAGTGAACAAGGATCTACCTCTTAGGTTTCTCATATCCTTAAGGCGGTCTGCAGTCGCTTTGGAAGACAACATTTTCAGCACCCTATAGATTTCTACTGTAAGAGGCAGAGCCTGTGTGTGTGTGTGTGTGTGTG